TTTGATTATCAAATATGTTATCTCCCATCGTAATGCTTGCATGCGTTTTTGGTCAGTGGTTTATTTCTTATCTTCACTAAACTTTGCATTCCAATATTAATACACCATTTTGGGGGCACATTGGGCATATTCAGTTTCATGTGGCTAGAAAACTACGAAACTAATCAATATCTCGGGAACGAACTCCGATCCAATGAACCCCACCCTGCGAAAGTGTCCAGTCCTCTTAGAAAGATCACCGCACGCGATCTACCCATCATGTTTCATATGAAATAGAAAACCTGATGACATTATATTTCTTAAATATTTTTATTCCACAAATGTCATTAAAGTTCCTTATTACATTGCCATCCATAAGATATATGCAGAGAAAGTATATAATACAAAATGTTTCCCGTGGTATGAGAGAGTGAGTGAGTTTGGTTTTATGCTGCTTTTAGCAACATTCCAGCAATATCACGGCGGGGGACACCTGAAATGGGCTTCACACATTCTAACCATGTCGAGAATCGAACCTGGGTCTTCGGCGTGACGAGCGAATGCTTTAACCACTAAGCTACCAGACCGCCCCTGGACACTAATAAAACTGGACACTAATAAAATAAACTGTGTTTGCATAACTGATGTGTCATTACAAAGTAACAAATTAAAAAATTCTGACACTTTTGGGTTTCAATACAATGGCGTCATAAAAAGACGCTTCAAATGTTGATTGGGTGGTCACAATGAATGATGAGCGAGGCTAGAAGTAGGCCTGCTGAAGGCATATACTTTTTACTGTCAGCTGTATTATTTACTGTGTGATCACTCTTTCTTGCATTATCCCGGCGGGGGGACCCCAGAAAGGGCTTCACTCTTTGTACTGATGTGGGGAATCAAATCCAGGCCTTCGATGTGACGTAGACACGCTTTAAATTTATACATGCCACCCCACGCCCTCAGTCTTCTGTTGGCGTAGACGGATGCTCATACTATCGACCAACAGTTTGTCATCTGGATACAATCATAACTTACCGACCGCATTGCAATACTGTTTCGACTACTGTCGGGAGAATCTGGGTCGCTGGTACACTGGAGTGGGAGTCCAGTGGGTGGTTTTCGTTTTTCGTAAGGTCATTGTGGCACTGAATATTGATTGAGGGTTTTTTTTAAAATAAATTGTTATGCTCGTGAACATTCCATGTTTCAACACTCATCCGGATTTTCTTGTGCACGTTGAAGAAGAGTGTATATAGCCTTTATATATACTCGCCAGATCAACCGGACTGAGAAATATCTCAACATACGAGAACTGACAAGACCAGTAATTAAGTAAGATAAATGTACATAAAGATTCCCATAAAAGGTAATAGCAGCACTCTAGCCCAAATTGACTAGACAGCATTAAAGGATCACCGTGGACTGTGCCCTGAAACAGACAATGAACAAAAAGCCATTTATCAAGAGACTCGTGATTACTGAGAAAACTAGTCGAAATTAGGTACTGTTAGCCAGCTCCGCAAAATGCCCAATTAGCACAGGACGGTAGGTGTAATTGATTCCTCGCCATTTTCTTCCCAAAGTCGGATTCTATCTTCATTGAGCACTTCCGGTTCAATGGCGGGAAGCGCCTTCAGCCGCTTTTTAAAGTGTCTCTTGTCATGGGCAAATTAGTCGCGATTACCGATACCTCCGCTAGGGGTCTGACCGCCAGCTAGGGGCCAACATTGATAGTGTTTGGAAATGTCCAGAAATTGTTTGGATGTAGGAATCTCAATCCCATGATATCGATTTCCCGGCTGTCACCGGTTCTCCGGACGTAGGTAAAGTGCATATCAGATTGAACAGAGCGGCGAACTGACGCACGCGTGACAGCACTATTTTAACTGTCGGGCAGGCGAAAAGTAGAATGTATACTTGAAAATTAGATTTGACAAAAAATACAAACTTAACTTGGTTGAAAGCAAAGGCTTGTCAGATACACATTGATGTGATGCATGTAAGATCGCCTATGGTACCCGTATCAAAGACATCGCCATCGAATAGCCATTTCTTGTTTGTTTCGACCGCCTCCGTGGTCTAGAGGTAGAGCGTCCGCCCGGAGAGCGGAAGGTACGGGGTTCGAACCCCGGCCGCGTCATACCAAAAGACGTTAAAAGATGGTACTTGTTGTTACCCTGTCTGGCGCTCGGCATTAAGGGGATAAAAGAAGGACTGGTCGGCTCGGAGTCAGTATACTGTGTCTGAGTGGGGTATTCATGTTAAACAAGGGCATGGTATCTCGGTGAGCTAGCACTATAAATCGGCATCAGTCCGGACTAGTACAAGCAGCCACACACACACATGTACATGCACGTCGCTATATAAGTGCAATAATCTTGGACGCGACGTTAAACCCAATTTCACCTCACCTCACCTCACCTCACCTCACCCCACCTCACCTCTTGTTTGTTTCATTTTTATCCACCGTCAAACATGGGTATATACTGTCCATTGCCTTTATATAGCAGTTGATGGTAATGTCGGTTGTAGGTGAGGTGAAATTGGATTTTAAGTCGCGTTCATTTAGATTTTTGCAGAGATTATCAACGTGCACGAATGTATGTGTGTGACTGTTTGTACTAGTCAAGGCACGCTGGTTTAATGCTAGCCCACTGAGATGCCATGCTGCAGTTCAACATGGATACCCCACTCAGACACAGTATACTGACACCTAGTCGACCACTCCTTGTTTTAGCCCCTTATGTCAAGGAATCGTGAAGATCCGGGGTAGAACAGGTCTTCAGCAACACATGCTTGCCGTAAAAGGCGACTATGCTTGTCGTAAGAGGCGACTAACGGGATCGGGTGGTCAGGCCCGCTGACTTGGTTGAAGCATGTCATCGATCCCAATTGCGTGGATCGATGCTCATGATGTCAATCACTGGATTGTCTGGTCCAGACTCGATTATTTTACAGACCGCCGTCATATAGCTTGAATATTGCTGAGTGCGCGTTACTTATTGAATTAAGTGATTATCCCCTTATGCCGATCGCAAGGCAGGGTAATCGTGTACATTCCCTTCATGTTTGTGAAGAGAAAAGGGTTAGAATGTGTGGCTGTTGTTTTACGCCGCAGTAACAAATAATAATAATAATAATAATAAGTGCACTTATAATGCGCCAGATTCCATTCACCAAGTGAATGCTCATAGCGCTACACTATTATTACCCCGGTCAATGGATCAGTGAGCACTCGATTTTCATTCTCAGCTCCCTGGGGAGTATACAACCCAAGCTGCCTGTGAGGTGCTAGAAGGTTAACAGCCACATTACCATCTCATCCTACCGGGTACCCACTCACTGCTGGGTGAACAGAGGCACATTTCGGACAAAGTCAGTTGCCTTAGGAGACACCACGAAGCCTTACGAAGCCTGTCTGTAAATTATCGAATCTGGATAAGGAAAATCAGCGGTTGATAGCACTGGCAGTGTCTCTGTTGTCGGGTACGATGACACACAATCTACCAGGGCCCCGTTCATCAAAGCGATCTTAGCGCTACGATGACCGTAAACCTATGTTAAAGTATGGGACTTACGATCATCTTAATGCTAAGATCGCTTTGTGTAACGGGGCCCTGGGTACACATTGTGACCACCCGATCCTCATTTTAAATACCCGCTACGACATTCATGGGATACTGGTGACCATTCTTCCCCGGATTCCCGCCAACGAAGTGAATGGACGGTGGTATGCCAGCATAGCCATAAATGCCAATTTTGAGGGCTGAGTTTTTATCTTACGGCTTTTGTAAGCAGCATAGCGCGATGTCTGGCCATTGTCTCGTCAAATATTCTCCCCTGGTATTCAATGTGTGGAAGAATTAAAACGATTTTATGTACGGAATAAAATATCACCTTACTGACATGGAACATAATAAAATCAATATATCCTTAGAACAAACGGGCGGTCGAAGAGTGTTCTCTGATCGACGGACGATTTCAATGCATCGTCAAGAATAGCGCAGAGCTGCGATGCTAAAAAAACCACAATCGATACGTTATATCTTTTTTAATATTCATTCAATATTTCCTGTTTGATCCAGGGTTACTTTTATCGTGGTAAAAGTGCATAATAAGTATATGAGATTTGACCTTTTCGCAATTTAGATGTAGGGATTTAAATTTATTCCTCTCGTGACGAAAGAAAGCGAAATGATTGTTAAACACTCATCTGCCTCTTTGGGGGTCTTTTGTCTGCGATTCCCAGATCCCGAGAGCTCTGTGTAAATATGGTAATGAAGGGGCGGCTTTAACCAGATTAGGAGTAAGTCAGACAGCTTTTAGCTCAATCGGCACCGGCTTAAGAGATACGTTCCAATCAGACACATTGTTCTGACTATATCCAGTAGGTCAGTCAATGCTGAATCAACGTTCTATAAGGCTACACGTTTCAACGAGATGTCCTTTCTTCGTGAATTCAACCTAACGTCGTTTCATTCTTTAAGGTAATTTAATTTTATGGTTTGTATTCTTTTTGGTAGATGGAGAGAAGGAATCGAAAATTCAAGAACGTATGTTGTACTAGATTTAGAAACAGCATCACCTAAGTCTCAGGTTAATTCGTTTATCAAAGAATTAATAGATAAATATGATTATGAATTCATTTTTAGGAATTTTATTGTGCATAAGATGATTATCTTTTAAGATATGTATTTGATATTAAGGTAACCGGAGGTTTTAAGAAAAAAATAATTGTTTTGCAAATCTGAGTGAGGATTCGAACACGCTTCCCAAAGTTTATACAGCAGAAATACCTTTTAGGTAGAGTTATTTGCCCCTAGCTAATTAGGGGACCGGTGAATGCTTGTCTCCTAATTCAGATGTTTCGAAGAAATGACAGAATTATGTGGAACATGACTGAAGAGAAAATATATTTAAACCGTGAAATATGTCAAACATAACATACACGAATATTTTGTTTGTAATTTAAGTCTGTAAAAAAGCGGGATGTAGAAATAAACAATAACAAGTCCCCGATACATTTGGAAACCTGGTTTTACTTTCGTCTGCTGTCTGACTGCCGGCTCGTCTTGAAACAGCTTCCATCGGGCTCAATTTACCGTAATTACAATCATACAGCTAACAGTACTCGACTTTATTATTTTGTGGAAATGTTGAAACATGCGCTTGATCTGAATGCTCGTTCTCAGGGCAAGCACTAGCTTAGGGATACTGTCAAGATGATTCATTGATTTGGGGAATCTGTAATGTGAACGGTGTGTAATGGACTTAGCCACGACGTCTGTTAGTTCCTGCTTCAGGGTAAATGCTGTTGCTCCATTTCGGGGAGAAATGTCTTGCTTGTTACTTGAAATGTGGTAACCAATGTTTTCTATTTACGATTTAACATGTTTAAATTACCGTATATGACGGTCATTAACGACTGTTTTCCATTTGTGTTTTCATTGCACATTACAGGTACCTTGGCCTATAGCCTAGCCCTAAACTAGTATTTATTTGAAATAAGATGTGTTAGGCCAGGTAATTGTTTTCATTAGATGTCTGGCGGTCGGGTAGCCTAGTGGTTAAAGCGTTCGCTCGTCACGCCGATTCCCGACATGGGTACAATGTGTGAAGCCCATTTCTGGTTTCCCCCGCCGTGATATTGCTGGTATGTTGCTAAAATCGACATAAGACCATACTCACTCACTCATTAGATGTCATGGTCATAAGTTATACACAGTGAAAATATATTGTAATGGTGAATCATGTTCACCATTTACAGCCTTTTTTTCATGTTTAACTTATTTTTCTCTGTGTCTGATATGTCTGTTTATTCTTCCAGCAGTGTTCCAGACTGCCTGTCCGGCAAACTGAAGCAGTATCATGAATGTGTTGAGCTGGTTTAGAAAAGATCAAGTTCGTCTGAGTACAGAGGAACAAGGGTGCAATATGGAGACAGTCGATGAACTGTTGAGAGAATACCAGGTATTTATCCAATGTCTGTCAATGACATTCTGTTCTCCACTTTCCATGCTTGTGTATGCTCTTCAATTTACGGAGAATAATAGGTTCTTGTCTAGATTCTCTAGTTCAGGTCGAGAGAGAAAGTTTATTTGGGAAACTGCCGGTCATATCGTTGTCCATTGACAGATGGGGGTAAGGCAATAATAAAAAGATGCCATAAGTATCAATGCGTTAATGACCCCTAACTTGCAGCAGACGGAACATTCCGAGGAAATTAAAATTGTTTAGTGAGCGAGCAGTTCCTGGTTAATGATTTTCATTGACAGACACCCGCTAAAAGGCGTGTCCCGCGTGAGCGACCGGAAATCACAAATGCTGCGATACGATGAATACCGCGGTACCACGAGGTCCGAGTATACACGGAATATGTCAGAAATAACAAGAAAAAAATGATGATTACTGGTCGCTAGCTTCGACGTGTACACTTTCAAGTGTATCCAGTCCAGAATGACATGTTGACATGTTTTAACTGTTCGAAAATAGGGTATGTGAAAATAGGAAGGCGGATGCCTCGATGCACACGCAACCCGCCAGTCACAACCTTGGGTGGATTGTGGTCCCTCTCGGCAGTGGATGATTTTACATAGCGCTTTAATTACTTTCGCGGAGGTCGCGGGTGACAGCACAGCCATGGTGATTGAATTAATTAGTATCAAGCGCTTTACTGAGTACTGCTGACCGCACCCGTCTCGCATACAAGAGACGACAGAGCCGTCTCGCGTACACGTTACGTCTGTGACTGGTCTACTATCCCAAAGCGTGTTAATCAGTTTGTTAAGATGAAGTTTCTGGGTCCTATGAGGTTTATTGCTGTGGTATATGAATTCAGAGACCGCTTATTTTATTCTTTTAACTTCAGGATTGCGATAAGCTTAGGACCCTTTTATTTACATTCTTTATTATGGAATACTGTTAATGGTATATCCTTTGGGTGAGTGGAAAGTTCTTATTGTTGATGGTAGAACTTCATTTTCCTGCATTGAATTGTTCCTTTTCTGCCTCAATACTAACATATATTGGTGGCACCAGTGGCCTAGCAATTCCCAGGGTGCAGGAATTCGCTGTGCAGAGTTGCCTCCCTTGGGCACACCAGAGACCTTTGGTCATGGTTTGAATCCCAGTTTGCCCGAATATGTTCTGGGTTTGTCAGCACCATACTCGTGCTCATGGGTTTCACCAAAATGGTAAACGTCTAAGATCTGCATCACTTGAGGCTTTCCTTCCACATCAAGCTGACTCCAGCGTTAGAAATTGGCACTAGTCCTGTAGTCCTTCCCAAATTGCCCAATAGTGAAGGTATCTTAAGGACTAGCAGAAATTTGCCATTTTTATGGGTTTTACTGTACGTTATCATTATAAGGACTAGTGGACTAAAACTGTTAGTTTCTACTGCTGTGACTCTCTAATAACTGAAATACAGTTCAAAGCATCCTTAAACCCAACTCCCTTATTTACGACCTGTTTGTGTTTCTTTTTTTCAGAGAAGTTGCACACCAGAACAGATGGGAAAAATGCTTGAGAAAATCCAATCACAGAATTCAGTTCAGCATAAATTAGTGCAAAAGCTCTTATTTGAAAGAAATCATATCTTAAGGATAAACAAGGAAATCAGCATGAAGAACAGTGAACTTGAGAGATTAGTGGAAAGGCAGCGATGTGAAATAAACCGAATGAAGCAGGAGACTGGCTACGGGCAGACAGGCTACGGTGGTTTTGGTTATGGTGGAGACAGAGCAACCTACAATGGAGGAGATGATATGATAAACTGGCAGACCGGTGTTGACCCTTCTCGGATGGCAAATCAGAGGATACAAGATCTTAAACGCAAAAAGTTGCAAAAAGGTAACTTAGCTGACTTGTGATGATAGTTATGGATTTTATTAATTATATGAATCCGTGAGTGAATTTCAGTACTCTGATATTTGTTCATAAATTGCTTTTTTTTAAATGCACTTTCCCACTCACTGAAAGCAATCAACAGGATCCTCCTGTCAAGAAAAAGCTTCCTATTTTTTAACAGTGTCTGTTTGTTTTAATTCATGTAAGTGTTTAGTGAAAACAGGTTGTTTTCCCTGCAGTAAATATAATTATTGATAATTGGGAAATTTCTTCGTCATGCCAAAGAGTCAGGTTCGAATTTCCATTTGGATACATGTGAAGCTTTTTCTTAGTGTCCAGGGGCGGTCTGGTAGCTTAGTGGTTAAAGCATTCGCTCGTCACGCCGAAGACCCAGGTTCGATTCTCGACATGGTTAGAATGTGTGAAGCCCATTTCTGGTGTTCCCCGCCGTGATATTGCTGGAATATTGCTAAAAGGGCGTAAACCTCACTCACTCACTCACTTTGTGTCCCTTGTCTTAATATCACTGGATAATTATCACTAAGAGCAGCATAAATACTTTTTGCATCTCTCTCTCAGTTATAACAAAACATAACATTAATTCCATTTGCAGGCCTCAAAGTTTAAATTTTTACTAAGTAGCCATGTGGCTACAAGTATTTTCTTTCCAGGTAGCCAGTGGTAAAATCAAGAAGTCAAGCAAATATTGTAGGTAGCCCAAAGCATTTGAAATGATCTTTTATCAAATAACTTTAATAATATGTACAAGTCATAGCACTAGTCTTGAAATTGTATATTAGTGGAAACTGTATTTGACTTTTGTTACTTGTGACTCGAACAACGATGCAATTTATGTTACTAGATTATATAGGTATATCATTGATTACCCAATGAGCATTATCAACTAGAATAAAATACTAATTACAAAAATATTTATGTATTTTGGTTCATTGTTGACTTTAGAAGGAATTATTTGCAAGTACAATTATATACAGACATGTTTTCCAGCTGTTATTTATTTTTGTGTCTACAGATATCTAGCAATAGAATTTAGTCGCCACAAGATATTTTTCTAGGTAGTCATTTGGCTACCTCTGAATTTTAGACAGTAGAAAATTGATATTTAGGTAGGATTGGTGACCGTTTAGTCGCCACTTTGAGGCCTGATTTGTTCTTAAGATAGTTACCACTGGATTGATTATTTTTGGCATTGTGCTCAGATTCCAATTAATTGACTGAAACTGACCTGTCGTTATAAAACACTACATTGACACAGTGTTTCAGATTGGTTCATTTGCTTGGTCATTGACTGAGTATATTCAAAGATGTCCTGAATATTTTAGTTCAAATTTTGTAATAATACAGAAGAACGTCCTATGGTAAGTTGATGAAATCATGTAAAGGTCCCAATGCCATTTGTCTTCAGCCCAAAATGATTGACATTGCCGGTTGTATTATTACCCTGATCAATAGGTCAGTGTGCACTCGATATTCTTTCTCAGCTCCCTGGGTCGTATACAACCCAAGCTGTCTGTGATGCACTAGAGTGAGTGAGTGAGTGAGTGAGTTTGGTTTAACGCCGCTTTTAACAGTATTCCAGTTATATCGCGGCGTGTCAGCTTAACGTGGGAGGAAGTCCGAAGTGATGCAGGTCCCAGACGTTTACCACTTTGGTGAAACCCACGAACATGGGTGCTGACAAACCTAGAAACATAATCGGGGCAAACCGGATTCGAACGAATCATAGGTTTCTGGCGTGCCCAAGGGAGGCAACTCTGCACAGCGAATCGTGGTGCCTTAGACGACTGGGCCACCCGTGCCCCCTGAGGCACTAGAATGGTAACAGTCACATTACCATCTCATCCTACCGGTTACCCATTCAAGTAAATCTTTTATTAATATTAATAACTCTAAGTGAATATCAAGAAGAAAATGTATGTTGTTGTCCTTGCAGTGTATGTGTACCTGTACAGCCCCCAGAGGGAGCAGATTCCCCCTGTCAGTGACATCACATCACGTATCGGAGAGGAGCTACTTCAGAGGGACATAGAACTTATTCCAGAAACGATCGACGAGACCCCTGTACCGGAACAAGCCAGACCGGCTATACTGTTATGTGTTAACGTCTCCAGACTGGGCACAGATGTCTCCAATGCCCTCAAAGATGTCAGAGGTAAGTCTGCCATCTACTGGTCTTGTTGGAGGAATGATCTACATGAATGGAATCAGGTTCATGTTTAGTTTAAAGAGCAAGTAAAGTGAAAAAGATTATTGCGATTTTGTTGCGAAAATCAATTTTCCTTGATACATTCAGTCAATTTCCAAGAGAGAGAAATTCATAATATTCGTAGAAAGTATTTCAATGTCCTAGTGAAAGTACTGAAATCACTCCCTTTGTAATCGGTTTCAAAATAAGAACCTTTTTTGGGGCGTGGCCCAAAGCTACCACTGCAGTGGTGACAACTGTTTTTATTGGCTGATATATTTGCCACGTTTAACTTTCTTGTGATGTTTAGCCGTTTTATATGAATAGTGTGTCTGCTATTTCTGTTAGTACTACAAACATAACAACATTGCATACATTGTTAAAAGTCTGAAACGACCCTTAATCTTGAGGGGCCACAGGTGGCCCAGTCGTCTAAGGCACCGCGATTCGCTGTGCAGAGTTGTGTCCCTTGAGCACGCCGGAAACCTATGATTGTGGGTTCGCCCCAGTTATGTTTCTAGGTTTCTAGGTTTGTCAGCACCATACCCGTGCTCGTGGGTTTCACCGAAGTGGTAAACGTCTGAGGCCTGCATCACTTCGGGCTTTCCTCCCACATTAAGCTGACACGCTGTGATATAACTGGAATACTGTTAAAAGCGGCGTTAAACCCAACTCACTCACTCACTCACTCACTTAATCTTGACATTGTGAATAATCAAGATAACAAGTTAAGATTGGTAATTAGAGTTTTATTACTAACATCCTGTTTGGGTAATAAAACAAATGCTGCACTTAGCTCTGTTCCACACGATAAATACCTGTCATGGATTAATCCCTTGTGTAAACAACTGAAGGCATCCTTAGTGTTGTTACTAAGGTGACATATGTTCCACACACGGAAACAGGACATACCAACCTAAATAACCACCTCAAAATAATAAAAAAACACGCCACAGGAACCTGCCCAAATTGCAAACAACAAGAAACCCCAGAACACGCACTCATACACTGCACCCACTACCTAACACACCGATCTACACTACAAACCACCCTAAATCTAAATGTTAAAGCAGGGATAAGTTAGGACTTAAACCATCCCCATAAATCAGATTATTTTTTGAGGTTCATGTTTTATTAAATTCAGAAGTCTGTGCAATGATTTTAGACTAAACAATAAAGACTCTTGCTCTTTATATTATTACATACCGTATTTTCTTGAGTATAGTGCGCACTTTTTTTCGAAAAAACACAGCTGTGTAGAAGGGGGTGCGCATTATACACAAATTATGAGTTTGATGTTTTTTTCCCCCATGGAAAGACACTACCGTGAGCGCGTAACACCGGAAATACCATGTCAACAAATCCATACCGAAGTACGCAAAATAATCATGTAATTACACTGTCTGGCTATAAAAAGTGTTCTTTGTATATCTGGACTTATGTTTGTAACTTATTTCATTGATTTTATTCAAAATTCCTTATAATATTGTTTTTATTAATTTCGGCGAAATCGTGTGTGAAGCGATCGGAAGATCTCACAACTCACCGTTATTAACAGCAACCATGGTCAGAATACCGCTATTGACGCCTTGAAACAAACTTTAGTTGACAGAGAATGGATACATATATCATAAATGACATACTTTGACTCGTTAAAAGTCATATTTGTTTTTGTTTGACGATTCTATGTCAACATGAAATTCTCGCGATCACGTGATCACGTGCGCGTGAGCCTTGACGGTGACTGGTCAGACATGTTCCATGTAAAAAATAATACCCGGGAATAGCGATCAGCTGCTTCGCTTAGGGTATTATTATTTTAAATATGTTTAGTAAAGGTTGCATATAATTAAGAAAATAATGGAATATATTATTCCTGATTAAAAAAATCTTTTCAGATACAATTGTTGCCGATCCTTGCATTAAAAAATCTTATAAAGTTATATCATTGGGTGTGTCTTGACCGAATCACCGGTCGATTCCAAGAAAACGTGTGTACAGCTGATTGCTGTTTCCAGCTTAGTTTACGAGAAAATACGCAAGGTAATCTTAATCCCTAAATTTAAAACAATGCCTAGCAGAACAATAAATACTATTTAAACGGTAAATAAACATGTCTGGTGATTTTTTATCTCAAATTTCGAATTTGTACTGACGAAGTTTCTCAGCACCCGTTCGTTTGACTGACTTCACTAAAAAGGGTACGGTGTAAAAAATTTCTGCGCATAATATTCAAATTTCTTTTTTTCCAAAATATTGAACCCGCTAGAGGGGGGTGCGCATTATACATGGGTGCGCACTATACTCAAGAAAATATGGTACATCATAAGGAGAAGTAACTTAAGAGGAATTCCCTACAGCTATAAATGTGATTATACATATATGGAACTATTCTCTGTCTGCAGCAAGTGAAGATGTGGCTGTAGTTGTTCTCCATCACAAAGATGTCCATGTTCTGCCCAAACTGTCCAGTGAAAAGAGTTTGACCGGAGCCGAGTTCCAGGAGCTTGGCGCCATTGTAGACATGGCCTTCTGGAAGGAGAAGGGGCTGCACCAGTGTGATATCAACCAGACTGCTATTATGAAACTCGCAGACTTTCTTGCAGACTATGCCATTGCATAAAGGAATGGTGAAAGGACAGACGATGTGAAGCAGCAACAGTTGCTCATACTGTGTTACTGTGATGTTGCGATGTCTCACTACTGACTGTCATAGGGCTGTCTGGTAACCATGGTAACATCTGTTGTAGAGGATGTTGCTGTGATGCTACAATGTCTCACTACTGACTGTCATAGGGCTGTCTGGTAACCATGGTAACATCTGTTGTAGAGGATGTTGCTGTGATGCTACAATGTCTCACTACTGACTGTTATAGCGCTGTCTGGTAACCATGGTAACATCTATTGTAGAGGATGTTGCTGTAATGCTGCAATGCCAAACATCCTCTTTTTAGGGAGGTGAAAACATATGATGCCTTGCTTTTTTATGAAGAACCCGTTCTTGAGTTGATTTGCAAAATAGAAGCATGACTATTTGCCTTGAGATCTTGTTTAATAGTTACTATAAAGTAATACATACCGAAATGAGGGTGCTTCATTGTCATGCCAAGTCATGCCAAGAAACCAAAGACAGTGGGAGAATGTGTGTTCTAATATCTGAAATATGAGGTTTTGTGTTTAATTGGCTCATGGTGTGTGTTCATCTTTGAATAATGTGTGAGGTTTTGTTGATGCTTAGAAACAAATGACAGTGTACTATGAGGATATAAAAGACATGGTCATTGAAATCTGTGTGGTGCCATGTCAAGGATCCTTCTAACAGCGGTACCGTATTTATCTGGATAATATACTGTCACAGGTTCTTACAAAATGCTCGGAAAGATGTCAGTGTGTGCTTGAACATCTTCCCAAGGCAAGTGAGTTAACTGACTATAAAAGTCCAGTTTCCACCCTTGCTGAACTAGGCTGGTATTATGGAGTTACATTTTGGCTGGACTAACGAGTCTATGCATAGTCCAATCAAAATTGCGCACCGAAATCGAAATCCGGTTCGTAAAGTGTCATGCAGATTTCGGTCGAATGCAGGATTTGCAAAGCATGTGCACCGCTAACTCGTTGTCAACAGATATTTTCTAAATCTTTTCATGCTTTTAATCAAGGTGCTCACGTGATTTGATGCATTTCGCGATGTAAGACTCGTTTTATCACAATATAGATCTTGATTATCAATCAGATCGTCTTGACTGGGCGCCACCGTTTTGTTTGAAGCAAATGCAAGTGATACGAGAGTTTGAATCTGATTGGTCAATAGAAGAGGCATAGAAAGGACATAACTTGTAATAGCCACAGGTGGCGCTACGGTCGAGCCCAGGAATTCCAGCCTAGTTCGGCAAGGGTGGAAACTGGACTTTTAAAGTCAGTTAACTCTCTTGCCTCGGGAAGATGGTGCTTGAAATGAATGTGTAACACACATTCTGTCAAGGTGTACTGTTTGCAGTATGTTCTTAAGGATGTAAATGTATTTCACGTGATCATGTCGATCTCTCAGTATAGAGGACGAGCGACTGTAAGGGATATCAAGGTACAGCTGACAGAGCGAAGGTGTTGCAAAGATGACACCTACTGTCATTGCATCTGTTGCTTTATATCCATTTATATGACTCTTTGAAAACTCATATTTTTTGGGGGGGTAATATTTGGCAAAATGGCCACAAGAACCAAATTAAGTTGTTCTGGGTATTTAGGCATGAGATAATCAAACACAACAATGTCGTTGTATGGGTTCGAATCTCATTCGATGTGTTTGGAGATGAACTTGAGCACCAAAACACGTCTTTTCTGATTTCGAGTTAAAGTTGATTATGGATTTTTATTGTGTTTCAGTATAGTTCTGTCGTATTTCTCTGTCTTAGAGCACAGCCAAATCCTTGAATCCCACTTATAGCGCAACTGGAAATAAGGGAAGAGTTCAAGCTAATGGCACTTTTCATGGAAGGCCATGGACGTGCTACTCCAAGTGTGTGTAAATCCAGCTCAAGCAGAACTGCTGTATAAAGTGTTTTCTGTCAGAGTACATTATCAAGGTCATATTGTACTACACGTGTACAACTCCAAGTGTGCTCTAGCTGAGACAAGAGCCTTTATTTGTGTTCTAACTGGGACAAGAGCCTTTATTTGTGCTCTAGCTGAGACAAGAGCCTTTATTTGTGTTCTAACTGGGAAAAGAGCCTTTTATTGTGCTCTAACTGGGACAAGAGCCTTTATTTGTGCTCTAACTGGGACAAGAGCCTTTGTTTGTGCTCTAACTGGGACAAGAGCCTTTAGGTATGCTCTAACTGGGACAAGAGCCTTTAGGTGTGCTCTAACTGGGACAAGAGCCTTTAGGTGTGCTCTAACTGGGACAAGAGCCTTTAGGTGTGCTCTAACTGGGACAAGAGCCTTTGTTTGTGCTCTAACTGGGACAAGAGCCTTTATTTGTGCTCTAACTGGGACAAGAGCCTTTGTGCTCTAACTGGGACAAGAGCCTTAAGCTGTGCTCTAACTGGGACAAGAGCCTTAAGCCTGTGCTCTAACTGGGATTAGATTCTTTAACAATGCTCTAACTGGGACAAGAGCCTTAAGCTGTGCTCTAACTGGGACAAGAGCCTTAAGCTGTGCTCTAACTGGGATTAGATTCTTTAACAATGCTCTAACTAGGACCAGAGCCTTTATCTGTGCTTTAACTGGGACAAGAGCCTTAAGCTGTGCTCTAACTGGGATTAGATTCTTTAACAATGCTCTAACTGGGATTAGATTCTTTAACAATGCTCTAACTAGGACCAGAGCCTTTATCTGCGCTTTAACTGGGACTTGATCCTTTAGCGGCACTCTAACTGGGATTAGAGTCTTTAGCTGTGCTCTAACTAGGACTAGAGCCTTTAGCTGCGCTGTTTTACAGGATGATTTAATTGTAAATAAATGTTAATTTTCAGATTCTGTCCATGAATATATTGATAAATATCCATGATGGTTTTTTTTATGTTGTATATGCCATCCCAACATAACATCTATCTACTTTGTTTCATAATGTGCTGTATTAAATTGGGAGGTTGCTACCACTGTTATGGTTACGTTGGAGTCGTCACATTCATGGTGCTATGATAGGATTAAACCTTGAAAATACCACCTTGTAAGATAGCTGTAGATAGTGACATTGTTGCTGTTATATACAGGAAACATGGATAAATATTATTTTTGAAGCCACCAGGTTTCATCAAGTTTTATCTCCATTATCACCATTTGATTATGATGCACATTACTTTGATCATAGTGTCGAAATTATCTTCATTTGATTATGATGCACAATACTTTGATCATAATCTCGAAATTATCTCCATTTGATTATGATGCACAATACTTTGATCATACTGTCGAAATTATCTTCATTTGATTATACTGCACAATACTTTGATCATAATCTCGAAATTATCACCATTTGATTATGATGCACAATACTTTGATCATAGTGTCGAAATTATCTTCATTTGATTATGATGCACAATACTTTGATCATAGTGTCGAAATTATCACCATTTGATTATGATGCACAATACTTTGATCATAGTGTCGAAATTATCTCCATTTGATTATGATGCACAATACTTTGATCATAGTGTTGAAAATTATCTCCATTTGATTATGATGCACAATACTTTGATCATAGTGTCGAAATTATCTCCATTTGATTATGATGCACAATACTTTGATCATACTGTCGAAATTATCACCATTTGATTATGGTGCACAATACTTTGATCATAGTGTCGAAATTATCATCATTTGATTATGATGCACAATACTTTGATCATAGTGTCGAAATTATCTTCATTTGATTATGATGCACAATACTTTGATCATAGTGTCGAAATTATCACCATTTGATTATGATGCACAATACTTTGATCATAGTGTCGAAATTATCTCCATTTGATTATGATGCACAATACTTTGATCATAGTGTCGAAATTATCTCCATTTGATTATGATGCACAATACTTTGATCATACTGTCGAAATTATCACCATTTGATTATGGTGCACAATACTTTGATCATAGTGTCGAAATTATCATCATTTGATTATGATGCACAATACTTTGATCATACTGTCGAAATTATCACCATTTGATTATGGTCAACAATACTTTGATCATAGTGTCGAAATTATCACCATTTGATTATGGTGCACAATACTTTGATCATAGTGTTGAAATTACTAGTCAATTACTAAGTTCTTTCATATTCCTATAGTTAACATGTCATCATGGCATGAGAGGTAAATTATAGTAACTTGAAAGAATTGTGTGTTCTTTAACTTCTTTTGAGTAGTATAATATCATGTTTATTTGTATTGTTTTTGTCAATAAGCTTATTAATAAATTGACAGATGTTGGAGTGATGTTATTCCAGTTTGAATGTATCAAGCATCGTCCGACTGATGTATTTTCTCAACAAAGCAACATGGATTCTGTGGTGTATGGTTGCTGAGAAATCCTATCCATAATATTGATAAATGTGCTGTGCTGCTACAAAGCCCAGTGGTAACATTCTACATATCTCTGTGATGTACCGGTACATATACATAATCTGTTGTTGTTTAACATAAGGAAATGTAGAAGTAAATGAAACTGACGTGTCTTGTCTGTTAGGGCTGGGACGAGTCCAAATTTACTACCCGGGTACCCACCCCCTATTACCCGACCCTACCTGGGTACCCACCGAAGGTCTCAGGAGATGTCTCAAAATGTCCGATTGGGAACAGCATAGCATAGCCCTGGCAAAACGTATTTAGATACATGTATTAAACAATCTGGTCATTGATACACTGAAGTTGAATTAAGTTATGTCTTTATTCAACCATATGAAAAATCAGAAGGAATGGGTGCATAGTCAGAAAGAAATGCTAACATTAGTGACTTGTAGTGTAACCATAGAGTTCTGGATAATTTTTGTCATTAACAATATGTCACGTGACTAACCACGGGTCCGGGTAGTCCTGTGGGTACCCGGGTCCTTGTCAGTACCCATCCGACCCGGGTACCCGAGTTACCCATCCCAGCCCTATTGACTGTCAACTTACATGGTCACACTTACTATCAAACACATCTTGTTTAAGTTAAACAAGTCGGGTAGCCTTGTGGTTAAAGCGTTCGCTCGTCACGCAGAAGACCTGGGTTCGATTCCCGACATGGGTACAATGTGTGAAGCCCATTTCTGGTGTCCCCCGCCGTGATATTGCTGGAATATTGCTAAAAGCGGCGTTAAACCATTCTCACTCACTCTGTATTTTATCGGCAAAGGTCCTTAGGATTTTGTCTCCTAATGAATCGGATGGTGGGTAGCCTTGTGGTTAAAATATTTGCTCGTCACACCGAAGCACCAGATTCGATTCCTAACATGGGTACGATGTGGGAAGCCCATTTCTGGTGTCCAGAACATGATATTGCTGGAATATTGCTGAAAACCAGCAAACCAACTCACTCACTCTAATGAACCATTCAATATTATTATCCTCCTTCCATGCAAGGTATTGGGGTGGCCCTAGTGAGTGGTTAACGTACTGGCTCAACAGACTGTGGTTGGACATCCCACAAGGGTACTACTACCTCAATGTGTCAAGCCCATCTGTGATGTCCCATCATGATATAAGTGGAATATTGCTGGTAGTGGCATGGAACCAAACTCTGTGAAAGGAAACTAGCTGACCCAATAATGGAACAAGCTGTATCAAAAGACTCAGGGTTCTGACTAATGTCATCCAGACATCGAGTGAGTGAGTATGGTTTTTAACGCCGCTTTTAGCAATATTAGAGCAATATCCCAGCGGGGGACACCAGAAATGGGCTTCACACATTGTACCCGTGTGGGGAATCTAACCCGGGTCTTCGGCATGATGAGCGAACGCTCTAACCACTAGGGTACCCCATCCAATCCTGAGGATTCTTGGTATCTCACACACTTCACCTTCACCTGTGCATGCGAGTTTCATTTTCTTCTATGTCTCTTCAAGTCTCGATACATTGGAAGTCGTGTGTGTTGCATTGAGTTGAATGCCAGATGACATGTCTACGTACACTATCTTACAGAAGCCTTTTAGGGCCATTTGTTTTTTATTTTTCCCCGATACTATCTAGAAATTTCAAGATATTAAGTTGAAATTTCAAGATACTAAGTTGAAATTTCAAGATACTAAGTTGAAATTTCAAGATACAGAAGTTGAATTTTCAAGATACAGAAGTTGAAATTTCAAGATACAGAAGTTGAAATTTTAAGATACTAAGTTGATATTTCCAGATTATTCACTTCAAACGTATTTTTACATCTTAGGTTGTTAACTTATTTTCTTGAAATTTCAACTTCTGTATCTTGCAATTTCAAGATAGTATCTTGAAATTTCAACTTAGTATCTTGAAACTTCAACTTAGTATCTTGAAATTTCAACTTAGTTTCTTGAAATTTCAAGATAGTATCGAAATTTAAAAAAAAAAAAAAAGGCCCTAAAAGGCTTCCGTACTATCTTGTCAGCTGGTTTATATATCAACCAGCTACTGTGATATCAAGGATAATGTGTTGGTAGCTGAACAAGACAGCCGCTATGTTTTTTGTTTGTTATTGATGTTTTTTTGTAAATTTCTGAAGTATTTGTTTCATTTCTTTGAGGTGCCAGGATACTGGCATGTAGTACCATGAATCAAACGAAAACTATTTTATTAAAGAACATATTGAAAATAGCATATCGTATTTGACGTAATAAGCGCCCCGCTCTTATAAGTGCCCACGGTGACATTTACTAATATATTGGCTAGTGAACAATCTCAATTAGCACCTCTTCCGATTAATCAATGTACACAAGACTTATTTATTCATGTATAATACGCACTTGTGTGTTATATGCACCCTTAATTATGGGCTATTAAATTCTGGAAAAATATATCTGTCGTGTATAATATGCACAGACTTTTCTTTTGTATCATTTCAGGTACATAAACCTAGAAATGTACGATCTTTCAACTTTCTTTCCACCAAAATTATATTCTAATAAGAGCCCCCTATTTCTAATTTTGAGAGCGCCATGGGCGCTTATTACGTCGAATATGGTATATTGAAATACACTTCTAAAAAGGAGTAAAGGAACATCCAAATCTTTCATATTACTATAGTTCATCTGTCATGGCATGTCATATTAACTATAGTAATATGAAAGAATTGGGTGTTCTTTTAATTTCTTTTGAGCAGTATATATGATGTGTTCAAAGGTAGTGGACAAAGTACTTTAAGATGTTATGAGAGATATTCGGTACAGTAACTCACATCTGAGGAATTAATATGTAACTGTCTTTTTAGAAAATGTCAGTATGTTATGAGTAACTAAGGTATAAAAAAACCGTTTTAGACCCTGAGAAAAACAGTACAAGAATTGATTATCAAGTTTTTACTTTCATCAATGAATTATGTTTCAGCTACTGACACATTCTTGAGAGTGATGCAAATTATTAATGGCCTTGACTTATGTCACAGAATAGGTCTCATGTACATGTACTTAGTTGTGTACAGACTGTTGTTAATTATGAATTTGTTTTGTGATGATGGTTCTACCCAGTGTGCACTGCTTTATTTGGCGTGGCATATGACTGACTTTGTGGAATGCGAGATCACGAGCAAGAAGAAACAGGCTACAGTACAAAGGAGTCGTACACTGAATGGTACATCATCCTCGATTATCAAGGGTATTATTTCTCCATTCTGTTATAAGTACCCTGGAACTATTAGCCACCACAGCTTCATTTTGAATGTGGTTCAACAATTTTAGTCATCCAATCAAATTGCAATCACGAGTAAGAGAAATTATGTGCTAAGTTTGTGACAAGCAAGATGGAGGTGACGTTACTGTAGAAACCAACTTTGGTGGAGATTGGGGCCAAGGTATGTTTATAGCAATCTCATTAAAATCAGATCCTAGTTCTCCCTATCGCTAAACAAAGATCTGAGGACATCCCGGGTCAGCACGACCTTTCATCCAACCAATCAAAGCGTCGCTTACCAGATCATGAAAGTGACCCAGGGAATGTGTTTTCTAATCATGCAACCTTGAAATATTTAACACGTGGTATTCCTAACGACAGTTACGGGTTTCATGATTATATCCATACAATCTAGGCCATCTATAAGCCATTCCAGAATGTTCTTTTTATCAGTTTTAAAAATTTAATCGAGGACACTTCAAAATATGTTTCGAAGTGTAGTCGCCAGTTTGAAACTAGTGTCGTAAAGCTCGAGAAAGCTGCCTTCTGATTGGCTAATGTCGATTTCTTGTCAGTCATTTCATTGATCGGTCAAAGTTCACGAAAGGGTGTTCTGACATGAACCCTAATGGGATGTCCTTACATCTTTGTTTAGCGGTAGCGAAAACTAAGATCTGATTTTAATGAGATTGGTTTTATAGTAGAAAGGTGACAATACGCTGGATATTCAGGGATGACAGATCATAGAAAGATCTGCTGTCATGTTTTACAGTCTTGGCCAGCGTGCCATCAGGAAGCAGAGATATAATTGTTAATCAGGGTTAATTTTGATCCAAACCCTAAAATACAAAACTGTTAAAAAGCAGCATATATTGAGTAGGCAGTGTTCAATTATTTTATTTTCGTTTTAATCTGTAAAGACATGAAAACAAACTGGTATGGACTAGGAAATGTTATGTTAAGTCCCCTGGGACTCTTAACTATTTTTGAGACCTATACTGGTGAACATGTTATGACACACTGATGTTAAATTTGTAATAAAGTCCATTAACATCACATCAGAAGCGTTTGTATTGGGTTGAGTTGTAACATCTTTGGTGAATGGATGAGACAGTGTCAGCAATGTTCTTGTTTGACAGCAGGCTATGTCGTACTTGATTGTCATGTTTAACTAAGCATACTGTCTTTGTATAATGCTATTACAGCAGTGTATGTATGAACCCCGATTCTCCCGTCATGTACAAATTCTGATGTTCTGTCATGCTAGAGCAATGTGTATGTGTACATCTAGATACACCTAGGTCCTCAAATAAAACACATAATGACTAGTTGTTTTCTTTTCAAACATGATCTACTTTGGGTTCCTGATTCTTGGTGCCAGTGATGTAGATGATTTACAGTGGGTAAAGTGGACTTCAATCAACACCTATGATTTAAGCCATAATGATGTCATGCTATTGATGTAGAGGATTGACAGTGGGTAAAGTGGACTTCAATGAACACCTATGATTTAAGCCAATATGATGTCATGCTATTGATGTAGAGGATTTACAGTGGGTAAAGTGGACTTCAATCAACACCTATGATTTAAGCCATAATGATGTCATGCTGTTGATGTAGATGATTGACAGTGGGTAAAGTGGACTTCAATCAACACCTATGATTTAAGTCATAATGATGTCATGCTATTGAAGTAGATGATTAACAGTGGGTAAAGTGGACTTCAATCAACACCTATGATTTAAGCCATAATGATGTCATGCTATTGATGTAGATGATTTACAGTGGGTAAAGTGGACTTCAATCAACACCTATGATTTAAGCCATAATGATGTCATGCTATTGCTGTTGCAGTTGATTCTGAGCTAGGAAATCGATAGGTCAGTATGCAAAATTCTATATCGACCATGAGGGCAGGGGTGGCCCAGTCGTCTAAGGCCCCGTGATTCACTGTGCAGGGTTGTGTCCCTTGGACACGTTAGAAACCTATAATTGTGGGTTCAAATCCTGTTCAAATTATGTTTCTAGGTTTGTCAGCACCATACCTGTGCTCGTGGGTTTCACCGAGGTGGTAAACATCTGAGACCTGCATCACTTTGGGCTTTCCTCACACATCAAGCTGACATGCCTTGATATGACTGGAATACTGTTGAAAGCGGCGTTAAACCCAACTCACTCACTCACTATATCGACCATAACATGGTTTGAGTTGGAGTAATCACTCGAATTGGAGTAGAATCAACTTGGGTTTGGGACAACTTCCAAAATCAACAGATTCAAGTGATTAATCAATTATGAAATTGATGAAATATAATTGAAAATGACTGGGAAGTGTATTGTTGGGATTCGATATTGAAGATTAAAGAGGTAAAAATTCAGTTTTGTATATTTCTCAGTTTACGGTGTTGTTCTTGTAATAATTGTGCCATTATGTCCTGCTTAGAAGCTATATTTTACCTCAGTTTCATGAAACTCTTGACACAAATCTAAATCACCAATGCAGTCATTAAATACAAACTAGATGCTATATTTATGCAAAAGAATTAATATCAGCTATATCTGTATCATATGTGAAATCGTCAAGCTTACACAATTCCAATTCCAATGGAGAGCACAGTTAACATGGTTAGCCCAGTTGTCTAAGGTACTGCAATTTGCTGGGCAGAGTTGCCTCCCTTGGGCACACCAGGAACCTATGATAGTTTGTTCGAAACCCAGTTCTCCCAATTTTGTTTCTAGGTTTGTCGGCACCATACCATGCTCGTGAGTTTCAGCTAAGTGGTAAACAGCTAAAACCTGCATCAGTTTGGGCTTTCCTTACACATCAAACTGACACGCCGTGATACAACTGGAACAGTTATACGGTTCAAAGCGGTGTTAAACCCAACTCACTCAAACTCCAATGTGAACACCTTAAAAATAGGTCAACGATCCATGCAGGAACTTGTTTGTAATACACACAACAGAAACTCTTTGAGATATGAATATTTTTTTTATTAATGACATTTTGTTCTTTGACAACATGAATTTCTAAGTCAACATCCCTGCAAGCATCGGAACTGGACATCCACTTTGCCCTAGCTACAGATGCGTCATATGCAATGCCAGTAGAAAATGCATGCAATATTAGCTCCAATACGCTTGTAAGTAGCACACATGAGAGGGGTCAATACACATGGTAACACCATTATAGAACACAATAGAGAGTTGCTGGAAAATAAAACAAGAAAACAAAAAGTAACATCACTGGGAAAAACAACAAACATGTACATCGGAAAAGAGTAAACACCTCCATATTAGACAAAGTGGTGGATTTGGAATTTGTGTGCATAACAACTTCATTGTAACATTAAGTTTGGAAGTGTTGACAATGTTACAGTTGCTAATCTGACCATTTCCTTCTGTGGTATTGACATGCTGAACCAACTGTCAAAATGAAAACAGATTTGAACAGTTACAAAAACAGCCATTCATGACTTATTTATATACAAGTTTTGTGCAACAGGTTAACGAGATAAAACCACCACTTACATGCATGATGAATGGGAAGTTCCCAAGTAATCACAGTTGACCTTGACCTCTGATGATGTACCAAGTAATGTCATATCATCGTACAATCTCATTAAAATTAGATCTTAGTTCCCGCTATCGCTAAACAAAGATCTGAGGACATCCCATTACGGGTCATGTCAGAACGACCTTTCATCTGACCAATCAAAGCGTCGCTTACCAGATGATGAAAGTGACAGTTGGAATGTGGTTTCTAATCGTGCAACCTCAAAAATGTTAAAACGGGATATTCCGAACGACAGAAACGGTCAGTAGGACTGATTCCATCTAAATTATCGTCTGTCTCTTGCTTCCCTAGGATAAACATTTGAACAGAGGAGGCGTTGCACAGTACGTGGGAAGTACTGCCATACAATTGCAACCATATATTAGACATTCTGGAAAATTTGTTTGTTCAGTTTTCAAAATTTTCATTGAGAACTGTGTCAACGAATTTCTCAAGTGTAGTGTGAAATGGAAGTTGCCAGGTTGAAACGAGTGCCGTAAGGCTCGAGAAAGCTGCTTTCTCAAGTCTGATATCGACTTCTTGTTATTCGTTTCAGTGGTCGGTCAAAGTATGCGAAAGATGGTTCTAACGTGACCCGTTATGGGATGTCCTCAGATCTTTGTTTAGCGGCAGTGAGAACTCAGATCTTATTTGAATGAGATTGAATCGTCGTGCAATCTTCAACCAAGACACAGATGTTTCATCGGACTCTTGTTCATCAATCAACACAAGCCATTGTAAGTACTTTGTCCAATAGTCAGCACTGTCAAGATGTCATGACTTCAACAACAATGGTTCTGTAACCATGGCAACAGGAAAACAAACAACTTTGGGTAAATAACAGGTTGGAAGATAAGATGAAAGATTTACTTCCTAGCACTATCACAAGCAGGTATATCATTCATCAGAAGCTATGTCCTATGAGATGCTAGCCCCTGTAACCGCAATCCCATAACACTTTGGAATACTCGTCAAACCAACAAACTCCACTGCTTCAAACTGTTAATCTCAAATGAACCATTTACAGAAGCTGTGACGATGCAGGAGTGAGAAGACGGAAGGACTACGAGACTCAGGACGCGAATCAGTACTGGGGTGCTTGTGACGCAGCACATATTGAGCAAATGTTAACGGCAAGTCAGTATTTTCAAGTCATAAATTCAATCATTTTTTTACAACCTACCTAAGAAATTTTCTTTCTAACAGACAATTAGTTTTTTTTACACTGCGTGACCCTAATCTGCATAGCTTTCATCTACACTGAAATAACGCGATCTCAACTACAAGCAAAGCCGTAATGTTGGTTTAAAAAGAAATGCTGAAGGAATAAATACTAGAAATTAGACTATGCTATTTGAATAGAATATGTATGCAGTTCACCTTCAGGAGTTCCATGATAGAAATGTCATCCTTATTTCTCTGAATCCATAACAAGAATATCTAAATAATTCTACTGTTGTTAACAAGATATAAACATCAATATAAACAAATACCATTGTAATATTGCAAACTCACTGATACTTATAACAGCAAGATTATTGTGTGAAGAGAAGTTTTAGCAGCATGAGTAAAGAAACAAGCATTAATCACTCACAGTTCTAACTGAAAGCTGTTTTCAAGAATATTCAGATCTTTGGGATTTCATGGAACAGACAGATCTGCTTGTCTCCTAGTGGAGATCGTACTGTCACTGTCTCGATCATATGTTCGGCCCACTGAACCTTGGTGTTCCTAATTCAATGCCTGTTCTTAAACTGATGGGATTCCGCTGTCTGACCCGTCCTTGGCTTGGTGGGGAGCTGGCAGCTTGACATCGGTTGGCTCCACGCCCCAGATTTCACGAGCATATTCAGAAATTGTGCGGTCACTGGAGAATTTTCCAGAGGCCGCGATGTTCAATAATGCCTTCTTTGCCCATGCCAGTGGATTCTGGGGATTGAAGTAGAAAGTTATTTTTTCATCCCAAAAAATGCATATGGTGAAATGAGTTTGATCTCAAGTGACTATGTATACAGATTTTCTGTTTTGAGACAAACAGCCTTAGGACATTAATGACATTTCATTCATTTGAATTTTTTATCCGACATTTCTTTTTATCACTCCAATGTACTGTTTTTGGCATTCTACTACAGTCTGTCAATGGCCAAAATGTGGACAACTCCAAAACCTTGTGTAGTTGGTCTTGCAGACATGAATGAATGTACATATTTTTCTTAATGCCACAGTTAGACTATTCCAGCAATATCAAGTCAGTCTGTGAATAATCACTCTTTTCTCATTAGACGAGCATGGTGGCACTGTGGAACAATTCTCTCACTGCACCCTACAATGCATCCCTACATTGCATCCCTACAATGCATCTCTACATTGCATCCCTACAATGCATCCCTTCAATGCACCCTACAATGCATCTCTACATTGCACCCTACAATGCATCTCTACATTGCATCCCTACAATGCACCCTACATTGCATCTCTACATTGCACCCTACATTGCATCCCTACATTGCACCCTACAATGCATCCCTAAAATGCATCCCTAAAATGCATCTCTACAATGCATCCCTACAATGCATCTCTACAATGCACCCTACATTGCATCCCTACATTGCATCCCTACATTGCACCCTACAATGCATCCCTACAATGCATCTCTACAATGCATCCCTACAATGCATCCCTACATTGCACCCTACAATGCATCCCTACAATGCATCTCTACAATGCATCCCTACAATGCATCCCTACAATGCACCCTACATTGCATCCCTACATTGCACCCTACAATGCATCCCTACAATGCATCTCTACAATGCATCCCTACAATGCACCCTACATTGCACCCTACAATGCATCCCTACAATGCATCCCTACAATGCATCTCTACATTGCATCCCTACAATGCATCCCTACAATGCATCTCTACATTGCATCCCTACATTGCACCCTACAATGCATCCCTACATTGCACCCTACAATGCATCCCTACATTGCACCCTACAATGCATCTCTACATTGCATCCCTACATTGCATCCCTACATTGCATCTCTACAATGCATCTCTACATTGCATCCCTACATTGCACCCTACAATGCATCCCTACATTGCACCCTACAATGCATCCCTACATTGCACCCTACAATGCATCTCTACATTGCATCCCTACATTGCATCCCTACATTGCATCTCTACATTGCATCTCTACATTGCATCCCTACAATGCATCTCTACAATGCATCTCTACAATGCATCCCTACATTGCACCCTACAATGCATCCCTACAATGCATCCCTACATTGCACCCTACAATGCATCCCTACATTGCATCCCTACATTGCATCCCTACAATGCATCCCTACATTGCATCCCTACATTGCACCCTACAATGCATCCCTACAATGCATCCCTACATTGCATCCCTACAATGCATCCCTACATTGCACCCTACAATGCATCTCTACAATGCATCCCTACAATGCATCCCTACATTGCATCCCTACATTGCACCCTACAATGCATCCCTACATTGCATCCCTACATTGCACCCTACAATGCATCCCTACATTGCACCCTACATTGCATCTCTACTTTGCATCCCTACAATGCATCTCTACATTGCACCCTACAATGCATCCCTACTTTGCATCCCTACAATGCATCTCTACATTGCATCCCTACATTGCACCCTACAATGCATCCCTACATTGCACCCTACAATGCATCTCTACTTTGCATCCCTACAATGCATCTCTACATTGCACCCTACAATGCATCCCTACTTTGCATCTCTACATTGCACCCTACAATGCATCCCTACTTTGCATCCCTACATGCATTTCCGGCATTACAAGACGTCTCATCACAGTCTTACAATAAAAGCATGCATCATTGAATATCGTGAAAGAAATACCCAAGTTGGAAATATGGAACAATATGACAGGTTGAATGCATATAGATGGTTACCTTGAAGAGGTCGTTAACCTCATCTTGACATTTTATATATGCATCATAATCAGCCAACAGACGGAACCTGAAAATGAACAGGAGTTGAAAATCAATAAAAATGGTATAATTTCATCATCAACACATTAAACGTCAACAAAAAGATGAGGCCAATGACCTGAAATAATCATCTGTCTGATGACCTGGCAATGATTAGCGCCATGTATTGCCAGTGAGATATAACTCCGTAAAAACACTGATTTGAATCGTATTGGCCCAAATTATTCCAGTCAAGCAGTGCATGGATATATGATCAGATCAGTGGCTTTGGCCATCAACCTGTTTGTGTGTGCTGTAGACTGACCTATCATCGTTGACTAGGTTGTTGAAGACGTCTTTAAAGAGATCTGGGTTTTCTGGGGAGAAGTATCCATTGTTGATCTGATCCAGAACCTGCTTCAGCTCTGGGTTACTCTCGTAGTAGGATCTGGCATTGTACCTGTTCACAACAATGTACAAACAACAGTCACCAACACATAATCTCGGCCTTGTTTCAGACTATCCAACTCATCTAATGCAAAAGTTCACAAAGTTAACAAATTATAATGCAGTTGTTTCTTAAGAATTGCCTTTCACTCATAATTTATCATCCAAAACTGGCTCACACAGGAGAGGTGAGGTGAAATAGGGTTTAACGTCGCATCCAAGATTATTGCACTTACATAGCGACGTGTATGCACATGTGTGTGTATGTCTGCTTGTACTAGACCGGACTGATGCCGATTTATAGTGCTAGCCCACTGAGGTACCATGCCGCAGTTTAACATGAATACCCCACTCAGACACAGTACACTGACTCCGAGCCTACCAGTCCTTGTTTTAGCCCCTTAATGCCGAGCGCCAGACAGGGTAACAACAAGTACCATCTTTTAACGTCTTTTGATATGACGTGGTTGGGGATCGAACCCCGGACCTTCTGCTCTACCACTAGACCACGGAGTCGGTCCTCACACAGGAAATTTCGCTTGGGTGAGATCAAGAGATATCTAATTGCATCACAATGCTTTGCAGACATCATTGGTTACCATGACGTCACAATCAAATGACATCACTAATGGCTCTGCTACTGAAGCAGTTAGCAGTACTTTTTACACTTAAGACACTGTTTATTGCTGTCTTCAACCTGGAAAAGTTGGAAGAATGATGCTGGATGATAAATAAAATCTCACTCTTGTGTCTTGATATCCAATGTATCAACACTCATTGATAAAAGTAAAAAAACTCTTCGGCAAGCCACTTTTATCAACTCGTGTTGATATATTGGGTATCAAAAGACACTCGGGTGAGATTCTCCATATATCACTATTTTCTACCTCGAAGGATGTGGATCTATACACAATTTTTTTTAGTACGTGTGACTTCTTGTTCACACTGACAGCCATACAACAACCAGCCGTATCCCGGAATGAAGTTGTTCTTCTAAAGGAGGGTGACATGGGTGTATGTTACTCACCGTGACATCTTTTGTAGCTTGTTTACAACAAATATATTCAAATAATACCACCAGAAGAGAAAGATCTGTTAAGAACTACCCCAGTAAGTCAGTCACAATGGCAGCGTACTACATTTACATGAAGTACAAGATGTCAAAATGTCAGAAACGATAAACGTGACGGAGAGATTTAAAAGTTGTTTATGAACCTGTGGTGACTACAAGTGACATTCATCATTGATCAATTGGCTGCTCAATAAAAGGTGATTGTAAAGATGTGTCAAACAGATAGAAAGGTAAATTCATAGATTTCTGTAGACGGTCACCTGTCCGTTTAGACATGGATCGAGTCGATACTATGATAGTTTGGATGTGCATTTCTTCATTTTGTTCACTAGGATGGGTCATAGCGAGTGAGTGAGTGAATATGGTTTTACGCCGCTTTTAGCAATATTCCAGCAATATCACGGCGGGGGACACCAGAAATGGGCTTCACACATTGTACCCATGTCGGGAAACGAACCCGGGTCATTGGCGTGACGAGTGAGTGAGTGAGGTTTTACGCCGCTTTTAGCAATATTCCAGCAATATCACGGTGGGGGACACCAGAAATAGGCTTCACACATTGTTCCCATGTCGGGAATCGAACCCGGGTCTTCGGCGTGATGAGCGAAGGGTCATAGCGAGGATATTCTTGAACGTGCATGCAATGAAAACTCTCTGACGTATCCCAATGCATGCTAAAACACCGAGTTCAAGAATAAAGGGTCTATATGATCAGAAACAACGCTACTGTATTTATTTGTGCTTGGGAATTTCCAAGGGTTCCCCCAGGAATGTGGAAGTAGTGCTTACGACATTTCAAGAATGTTATCTCGTGAAAAACGTATGAACGTCAAAGTGAGTCGTTCATACACTTATCAGTTTCGCGGTCATGTGACCAACCACTCATCCAATGGAAAAGTGTATATCATGTAAACTTCACATTAAAAAAATATTTTTACTTGAATGAATTGCAACAAAGAAGCAATAGCTGTCAGATAACCACAGCAGTGACAGTGAGGAAGCAACATGATAAATCAATGTACAGTTAGGGAACATATTTTCACTCCAAGCTTAAGCGAAAATGTTCTGTGGAAAGCCATAAAGTTGTTCCATCCATTCTTGACCCAGTTCCGCAAAGCGTTCATAGAGCTAAGATGAACATAACTCCAATATTATCATAGATTTACGACCGTCGTAGTGCTAAGATCGTCTTGTGGAACAGGGTCCTGCTACTGAAATTGCATGTGTTCCAAATAGACTAAATTGTCTCATTGACAATCCCAGGCCTTCCTGAACATCAAATGGTGTTGGTCATTCAATTTGTGTTGGTCCGTCTCAAGGACAACTGATCAGATATCCCCAACAGAGTCTAACTGATTATTGTTGAGACTGAATGTTGGTACGGAAGATACAATGAACAGAGTTTAGTTGCTGATGCTGGGAAGATGGTCCCTTGTCTTAGCAACACATAGATTATTGTCGAGACTGAATGTTGGTACAGAAGACACAATGAACAGAGTTTAGTTGCTGATGGTGGGAAGATGATCCCTTGTCTTAGCAACACATAGATTATTGTCGAGACTGAATGTTGGTACAGAAGACACAATGAACAGAGTTTAGTTGCTGATGGTGGAAAGAGACTCACCCTCTCTTGTTCAGCTCCTCCACATCATCCACTGTCATGCCGAAGATGAAGATGTTGTCCGCGCCCATCTCTTCCCTCATCTCTACATTAGCTCCATCAAGGGTACCAATAGTGAGTGCACCGTTCAGCTGCAACAGAAACATTATCCTGCATTCAACTGAACTAAAAGTCCATGGAAAAAACACATAGATTCTTAACACACTACCCTTAAGGTGATTTTTAGCTCACCTTGTTTCAGTGAACTATGTCATGGGATTTACCCACTGTCCATCCATCTGTTAGCACGTAATTTAGATATTCCACTGATTTCACACATCGTATTTCAGACAACTGCCAGGTGGCCATTTTGATTTCTTTTGACATTAAACAATACTCCATTCTAATGAAGGTTATTTTGAACCAGGGGTCCAGGAACGGTCATATGCGCCGGACATGTCCGATTGGGAATTTCAAATGTCCGGTTTAAAATATTGCTTTCCGGACATTTAAATTTTTCTGTCCGGACATTTTAAAAAACAAACAACGCTACCTTCAGGGTCCAAATAATTGATGAGCGTTATCGTATCCCTTCAGCGAATTCAGGTGAATACCAATAAAAGTATGAAATTTGATATAAAACATCACTAGACATGATGATTTACCATTTAAAATGTATTTCCTGCTCTCCAAGGCATTGTTTTATATGCAGAGATTAAGATTACTGTGTGAATTTTCTCGTAAAGTAAGCCGGAAATAGCAATCAGCTGTGCACACGTTTCCTCCCATCTACCGGTGATTCAGTTAAAACATACCCAATGATGCAACTTCAAACAATTTTCATGCAATGGTCGGAAGAAATTGTATCTGAAATTATTATTTTATCAGGAATAATATATTCCAATATCGTCTTATTTAAGTTGCAGTTTCCCGCGCAACATGTATTTCGACTGCGAAAAAGTTACGTTGTCGTGGTATGGCGAGTCATGGTACGGCATTTATGATATGTGTATCCATTCTCTTGCAACAAAAGTTTGTTTCAAGGCGTCAATGGCGGTAATCTGATCGTGGTTGCTTTAAATAACGATGAGTTGTGCGATCTACCGATCACTTCGCATACGATTTCGCCAAAATTATTGTAAACATCATTATAATTATTGAATGAAATATTGAATAGATTTAATAAAATATATCGCAAACTCTAGTCCAGATAAACAATGAACAATTTTTTTATCATCAGATATAATAATAATAGGATTAAATTGCGTACTTCAGTTCGGATTTGTTGACTGGTATTTCCGGTGTTACGTGATCGCGGTGATCAGCTGATAATGTTTTCTGAGATGGGGAAAACACTGTGTCATTGGAAAACTTGAGTTTATTAAAAATGTTAGTAAATTTTGGGAGCTATGCTTTACCACGTGTTATAACCGAAGCTCTCAATAACGAGGGAACACTGTACGTAACAACTTGCAATGTGTGTGAAAAGTCGTACAAAAATAAGCTATTTGAAGGGGGCGTGCGCCAACGCAGGTTTGCTTGGCATGTATTAATGTAAGCAGAGTTAGCTCCCCTTGGTAGCTCGCCTGTCTTGGGAGGCTCGCTTGGGTTTTGCGGTTCGTTTCGAGTGTTGCCAATAAATATCATCAAGTGTTTACCTGTGTCCTGTCGATGTGTGACAAGTGTACAGTTCCTCCTAACCTAACTGGCGGTGGCCTAAATGCAAATGTCCGATTGGGATTTTAAATTTTCCGGACCCCTGTTTTGAACATCCTCACACATCCTAATGGAATATTTTCAATGGCTGTTAGGGGCAATGAGGCCATTTGGGTTTGTGAAGCAAAATGTTTACAATGGAGCATAATATTGCAATGTTGAGGTGTTTTGAAGAATAGCTATTAAGTGCTAACAGATGGTTTGACAGACAATGGCTAAAATTAAATCCCATGACATAGCTCTCTTTCACGAAGTCAAGGTGAGCTACAAATCCCCTTAATGGTAGTTTTGTTCATAACTGAATACGGCCAGATTCTGTACACTTGCCTTATAAATCTACCAATCATACATTTCACACGTGTATTAATAATACTTGAATTGTAAGAACAGTTTTTACAGTCAAAGTAGACACAAATTATGGATAACAACTTTATTTATATTTTAAATGAACAAGTTGTTATCCAAAAACTGTGTCTACTTTGTCATCCATCAACTTCTAAGAAATGCAGATCAAACAATCAAATCTTTACAATATTTACCTGCTAAGTCTGTTAGGAAATATGAGAAGAGAGAAAGCGGTCAAAAGTATATGGATATAGAAACTAATGGCCAATCTTGTCTGATACCATCTTCCCGAGGCAAGGGAGTTAAGTGACTACAAAAGTCCAGTTTCCACCCTTGCCGAACTAGGCTGGAATTACTGGGCTCGATCGTAGCGCCTCCAGTGGCTATTACCAATTATGTCCCTTCTAAGCCTCTCCTATGGACCAATCAGATTCTACCTCTCGTATCACTTGCATTTGCTTCACACAAAATGGTGGCGCCCAGTCAGGACGATCTGATCAATAATCAAGATCTATATTTGATAAAACGCGAAATGCATCAAATCATGTGAGCACCTTGATTAAAAACATGAAAGGATTTGGAAAATATCTGCTGACGAGTTGGCGGTGCACATGCTTTGCAAATCCTGCAATCGATCGAAATCTGCACGACAGTTTACGAACCAGATTTTGATTTCGGTGCACAATTTTGAATAATTAAATTTTCGTTGTGTTCATTGAAATTCCTGTATTCTGATTAGCTGAATTGGTCACGTGTTATTGCATTCATTTCCCAATGAATGTAAAAAATTAAGCCACGCCCACCGAGGCGCACTACTTTTTATGTCGGGGAATCCCAATATTACAGCCGAGGGAATTCCCTTTCTGCTCACGTGTATCGTCATGCACAGGACATTTAGCGACTTTCATGCATATTCATTGTCCAAACAAACCTTTGAAACCGAAGGCCGAGAATGAATGAAACAGCAAACGTGCAGGCTCGCTCACCTGTTTTTTTCCCGCTCGCCTCGGTTCCACAACTTTCATGTCTTCGGGTTTCCTTTCTAACTAACATTTTTCCAACTGTGTTTTACCGTAATCTGGGAAGTAATGTTTGAATCTGGCGGTAACTGACCATGTAATTTGAAACAGCCGCCTTCTCCCGGACATATTTCTTCCAGTTCGTTACAGTCTGACTGTTGCAGTTCTTTTCGCCTCTTGTCTTAACTGACAGGTCCAATGAACATTGTTTTGATCTGCTCTCCGTTGATTGGCTACTCACAGTGAAGGCGTGTCAATTTATGTGCATGAATTAAACAATCACCTGATTCATGTCACGCCACAGTATGTGTTCCTACACCTGGAATGTTTATCAACGTCGTAATTTGTGTCTGTTTTTATATATACAACTGTTTTTGGTTAAACTATTGTAGATAAAACATGTTTTATGATGTCGAATTTAATTATAAGCATTGACTGTGTATTTTTTTCGGTTCATTGAGGTATGAATCGAAAAACCAATGTGCAAACTTTTGTAAGAATCCGCTACGCGGATTCATACAGTTTGCACATTGGTTTTTCGATTCATACCTCAATGAACCGAAAAAAATACACAGTCAATCCTTAATTGGACTATGCATAAACTCGTTAGTCCAGACAACATGTAACACCATAATACCAGCCTAGTTCGGCAAGGGAAACTGGACTTTTATAGTCAGTTAACTCTCTTGGCTGGGGAAGATGGTCTGATACTTGCTCAACGTGCTCAAGTTCCAGAAACACATAGAGTTAGTTACTAAGTTGAATGAAGACAGAGTTGACCGATGGATTTCACTATCTTATTGTTTCAAAGCAGATTTTCAGTAGATGCAAGTACCATTATCCCGCTTTTTTATCAAGCCAAGGCTGTCTTCATTGATACAACTCTTTAAATGTCACTTGAATATTCGTGGCCTTAGTAGAGCACCAAACACAAGCACATGTTTCTCTTTACAAAGCCTAACCTTGTAAAACAGATTACTTATAAATTCACAGGACAGCATACATACCGTATTCGACGTAATAAGCGCCCAGAGAATAGGGGCTCTTATTAGAATATTATTTTGGTAAAAAAAAAAAAAGTTGAAAGATCGTAAATTTTGTGGTTTATGCTGACACCCTGAAATGTTTATATACAACAGATATATTTTTCCAGAATTTAATTGCCCATAATTTAGGGTGCATATAACACACGTGTGTGTATTATACATGAATAAATAAGTCTTGTGTACATTGATCAATCGGAAGGGGTGCTAATTGGGATTGTTCACTAGCCAATATATTAGCAAATATCGCCATGGGTGCTTATTAGAGCGGGTGCTTATTACGTCGAATACGGTAACTGGTTTACTGTCGGCCATCCATGACCCATATAATGTGACATTATTCCAGCTATAGGGAGTCCTTCCTACCTGGAACTTCATGTTTCCTGTGCCCGACGCCTCGGTGCCTGCCAGGGAGATCTGCTCACTGAGGTCGGCGGCTGGGATGATCTTCTCGGCCAGGGACACGCGGTAGTTCTCGAGGTACACCACCTTCAGGCGGTCGCCAACGATGGGGTCATTGTTGATAACTCTCCCAACATTGTTGATGAGCTTGATGATGAGCTTTGCCATATGATAGCCCGGAGCAGCCTGGAGATGGGGCGAAGTTTTAGTTTATCTCAACAATTTATAGATAACAATTTATCAATCAAGAACATTAAACGTTTTGCTTACACTGTTACTCATCAAAATCCTACTCTCACATAACGGATTCCTAGGGAACATTACACATGTACAAACAACCTAGTAAAATCCTAGATATTTTTTATATTTGTATACTTATCCTGCATTACTCCTTAATGCATATTACTGCTTGTTTCTTGACAGAGAAAAGAGCTGTTTGAGGGTCTTTGCTTGAAGAAGTTGCTCCAACTAGCTGAGAGGCCAGCCCATCACGCAGCTCCCACGTGACCAAAGGATGTCCTCAGATCTTTGTTTTGGGGTAGCGAGAACTAAGATCTGACTTTAATGAGATTGACAGTCACAGGTCAGTCAACAATTACGGAATGTTTCTCCCTACCTTTCCTCCAACCATGACCGTCCGGGGCACAAACTCCATGCTGGGGTTCTTCTTGAGGCGGTTGTAGATGGTGATGACGTGGAGACAGTTGAGCAGCTGGCGCTTGTACTCGTGGATTCTCTTCACTTGCATGTCAAATATGGAGGCCGGGTTCACCTCGATGTTGTACTCCTGCTTGATGTAGGCGGCCAGGCGGATCTTATTTTCCTAAAGAAACATCGGGGAAAGGTCAAATGTATTCTACAGAAAAACTGACCAGCTTAGTTACTTCTGTGATGCGATGTAGACTGTGTCAGTGTCTCCGCTAGGGCTGGGACGGGTAACTCGAGTACTCCGGAGTAGGACCCGGGTACCCACATGACTACCCAGACCCCTGGTTAGTGGATATACTGTAGTGTCACAGGTCAGTCGCGCGGACAAAGTTTTCGGACGAACGGAACGTTGGTATAACTATATACTAAAAGGACAGGGGTATAATAGATGAGGTGAGGTGAAATAGGGTTTAATGTCGCGTCCAAGATTATTGCACTTATATATAGCGACGTCGGGGGTATAATAGAAATAATGTTTTAGTCAACTTCAGTGTATGCAAGACCAGGGCCCACTTGCACAAAGCGATCTTAGCGCTAAGACTATTGTAAGCCTATGGTAAAGTATGGGAGTTACGATCATCTTAGCGCTAAGATCGCTTTGTGCAAGTTGGTCCAGATGTTTTATGTGTATATCTTAATTTCAGATCCCACCCGCGCCGAGTACCCCAGCCCCACCCTTAACTTCCCTTTTGAATAATCAACTTATTGTTGACAAAGTATGATCGTTTGAACCCCATCATAAAATGGTAAATAAATAAAATTCAGCGAAAAAGCAAACTGCAACAAACAAATAATCACCTCATGGCACTGTCAATACTTCACAGGTTTTGTACACAATACATCCCTCCATCACTCTTGTATACACGTCTGACTGGCAGTGTTGTTGCTATTAACAATCAACAATCAAGTGAGTGAGTGAGTAAGTATGGTCTTACGCCGCTTTTCACAATATTCCAGCAATATCATGGCTGGGGACACCAGAAATGGGCTTCACACATTGTACCCATGTCGGGAATCGAACCCGGGTCTTTGGCGTGACGAGTGAACGCTTTAACCACTAGGCTACCCGACCGCCCCACAACAATCAAGACAGGCCTAGTTCAAGCTGGAGGGAAAAACCAGCAAGTGCTCAATCAAAATCACACAAACTTGTAGAATTTTCCTATTCGGAATATTCTATAAGTAATACGTTACCACTGTTATACCGAGGCTGTTGTCTCCCACAACTGCTGCTATAGCGAAATCTACCACAGAGATCTCAATTACCTCATGCAGCACGTGCGTAGCCACCTAGCTGCCATGTGACACCCTTCACTCTTGTCTCCTGCGAGAGCAAGTGCTCGGGGGACGGACGGGCGGGCAGCAGCCCAGTGGTAACGTATTACTTATAGAATATTCCGAATAGGAAAATTCTACAAATTACATTAAGTAATACGTTACCACTGTTATACCGAGGCTGACTACCACAGTAGGCGGTGGGGAGCACCTACAACCCGAATCCTGACTGCTAGCGTTCCTTCCGACCAGCGGAAGTAAACACCAAGGCGGAAGCACTCGATGCGCATGCACCTAGCTAGGCGTTACCCTATAGGAATACCAAAGCACTGTCAAGCGCATACCGTAAGGCTCAATCGTCATTGCCAAAACGATTGGTGACTCCAAACGGCCCCACTGGATAGGTATTTCATCGCCGCAGCGGATGAGAACACTGTATCCGCGTGAGCTTAATCTTAGATCAGGTTAAACAGTCGAAAAGAGGGAAATTAATTTCATTCAGACCGTATATCCCAGAGCAAGCCTACTTAAAGTATGCATTAGGCGCGTGACCTAATTCCAGTATTTGTAAGCATGCATCACAAGGTTGGGATACACGACAGACAATTAAAGACATAATTGTCAAAATACAAATAAGGACAAAGCACACAAAAAGCCGCCCTCACCTGTGGTGTGAGTGCGCTGGTTTGCGGGACCCCAACTCCTGTACCCACGGCAGTGGGAACATTGGAGTAGACCCAGATTGACCACCGTGCAAGGTCAGACGCCTGAGGAGTTCGGAATTGCGCTGGGCACACCCCTTAGGTGCCCGCTTGCGCCGCGATCCGCGGGCCAAGACGGTGCACACTCTCCACGACGGCATCAGCGACCTGTTTGAGGTAATGATTGGCAAAAACCGAGTCAGAACGCCAGTAACAACCTCGTAATATTCTGCGAACAGAGATATTCGAGTGTAGGGCAAATGTTGCCGCTAGCGCCCTGATCTCGTGCGGGTTTGACCCCGCTACCGGTAACCCCCGAGACCGGTACGCCAGATTGATGACAGAACGAAGCCACAACGCAATCGAGTTGCGAGGTATGTCAACCGTGCGATTAGGGTTACACGATATGAACAGACGGTCACGCCCTTGTCTACGTTCATTCGAAGCCTTAAGATAATACTTAAGGGCCCTAACCGGACACAGCGCTCTGTCCTCAGTATCAGCAGGATGTAAGATTTCTTTGAGTGATCTTACAGTGAATTCTCTCTCCGTTTGCCCGACTCTCTGATTCATGGCGACGAAGCCCATGAGCAGGCCCAGGCGGACCGCTCCTTCGTCACCCCTATCGAATCGTACCTTGGCGACATCGAGTGCATGAATTTCGAATACACGTGCCGCCGTGGCAAAGGAGAGGAGAAATGCTGTTGTCCAAGTCACATGCCGGAACGAAGCACTATGCAAGGGTTCATACGGAGCTTCCGTAAGTGATTGCAACACTAGGGAAAGATCCCAGGCCGGTGCCCGAAGGCGGCCCTTCTTAAGATCGTGCTGTTTGAAACCCTTGATAATACCCCGTAACACCGGCTCTTTGGAGAGACTGGTACCCATAGCAACGTCCCGTACCGTAGCAACAGACGAGACATAGTTGGCAATGGAACCCCCGGAGAGTTTCCGGGTCTCTCGCAAGTGAGACATGAAACGAGCAATATCCTGCACAGATACCTTATCTGGCGAATGAATGTGATGTTTACAACACCACTTCGTGAAAATAACCCAACGTGCATTATACACCTTCTGGGTAGAATCACGATGCATACTAACGTATGCCCGAGACGCCCGGCGAGAAAAAACTTTACTCCTCAGACGCTCGGTGACAACATCCACGCGTGCAGATTGAACTGCCCTGCGTTTGGATGAAGCTGACGGGTGTGAGGGTGGATCAAGAGATCCGGTCTCACAGGCAGTGGAAGTGGCGACTGCGTGACCTGGGTCAGCAAGTCGGGGTACCACGATCTGTTCGGCCACATGGGCGCGATCAGTAACATTCGACAGCGAACTCCTCGGAGCCGGCTTAGAATGTGTGGTATCAACGCTGTCGGCGGGTAAGCATAAGCGACCAAGCCCGTCCAGTCTAACGCGAGAGCATCGTGATCGATGGCCCTCGGGACCGGGACTGGTGATACAAACAACGGGAGTTGATTGTTGAACCGCGTTGCGAACAGGTCGACCATCGGACGACCCAAACGTTCGCACAGCCACTGAAACACTACTGGGTTCAGCATCCACTCTGTGGGGCTCGGATCCTGAGGCCTCGATAGAGCATCGGCCAGTACGTTCCGCACACCTGGGATGTGACGGGCGCGTATCTGGCACGGGACACTGTCCACCAGAGCGTAAAACTCGAACGTGAGATCGAGTAGCGAGTGACTGTGGGTTCCCCCCAGTTTGTTCACATAGGACACTACCGTCGTGTTGTCGGTCGCCAGCATGAGCCGGGCGTCGACGAGACGATGCTTCCAGGGATTGACTGCGTTGATCACTGCCTTGAACTCGAGACAAGTGATGTGAAGACCTAGTTCGTCTAAGCACCACAGCCCCGAGCTCACCTCCCCCTTTAGATGGGCGCCCCAGCCCACTAGAGAGGCGTCTGTATACAGGGTCAACGTGGCCCGGTAGGGCCGCATAGAGACTCCTGATAAGACAATGTAAGGGACCGTCCACCACTCCAGATGCGGTCGGAGCCGATCCGGGAGGGCGACGGTCGCACTGTTCACCTCCGTCGCTAACAACTGGATTAAAAACCGTTGCAGCGGGCGGAGTTGGAGACGACCCCGTGCGGTGCAGTCCTGGGCTGATACAAGTAGCCCTAACAGCTGTTCCCAAAAGTGAACAGTCTGTTGCACCGCTAAGACTTTGGCAATCATCGCCTGAATTTTGTGCCACCGGTCTGGGGGGACAAAGAGGCGATGGGACACCGTGTTGAACCGACCTCCGATGAACAGCAAGTTCTGAGAAGGGGTTAACTCGCTCTTGGGGAGATTGATAATCCACCCAAATTGCTCCAAGAGCCGACGTGCGAAATCGAGATGGCGTGACAGGGTGTCCGTCATTCGATTTGCTACTAGCGAGTCGTCCAGGTACGCGAAGTACCGGACACCCCTCCTGTGGAGGAACCCCACTATGGGGGTGGTTAACCGGGTGAACAGCCAGGGAGCGGACGTGTGAATCATTCTGAGTTCGGCACTGTCCTACTTGGGAACGAGAAATATCCTGGAGTAAAACCCCGGTGTTATTTCTGGTAGAGCTAACTCCCGTACTGCCCCTTCTCCACCAACCTGCCGATGGCATCGGCGAGGATGGGAAGATCGGTTTCCGAATCAAAACCTGCCAACGGGGCAACGGTGAGCGGCGGATTCGCTTTGAGATCAAGCCGATAGCCGTACCGAATCGTGTTGACCACCCACGGGTCGTCGAACACTTGTTCCCAATTCTCCCAGTAAGTCTGGAGTCTGGCTCCCACTGGGGAAGGAGAGGGGGCCCTGACAGGTTGCGACAGGCGCAACTGTCCAGGGCCAAGTGACTCGGGTTCGCCTAAGGGCCAACCGAAGTTGGCGCTGTCGGCATACGAACCCCTCCAATGAGAGTCACCTGGAGGGGCCCTTGCCGTCTGTCGACGACTTGGGCTTCCCCCAGTTTCCCCTTTTCCCGCGAAAGGGCAGCTGATTGCCCATACCGGAGCCCTCAGGGCGGGGCTACTTCCCAGAGGAAGAAGAACCCGACCCCTTAGACCTACCGGCCGCAGCAGCCTGGGGCGCGCTCCGGTTAGGAGCGGCACCCAGGCGCCTATGCAGGGACCCAACAAGAGCAAGTGTGTGCCGAGAGTCCTCGGCAACGTACTCCAGGGAAGCATTTAAACTGAGCAGGCAGTTGTAAATGCGCTGGTCACGGTCCGTGGGAGAACCTTCGACCAGACGGGCCGCTGCAGCCAAGTAAGTGTCTCCGTGAGACATGGAGTGCCGAGCGAGGGCGTCCAGCTGGTGCAAGGTAGCTTGCGTTACCGTAGCAGCCGGTGGGGCACGGACACCCAACCGCTCAACATGGGCCTCCGCGGTAGGACCAGCCTCGGGAAAGGCAAGGTCATGTACCGGGAATAAACCCTTTCTCCACGACGTCGGAGGCAACGGGAGACCCCGACCGGAGGCCGCCGTGAAGGCGTTCTCCAAGGAAGGCTTGAAACCGCGCAGCAAGGTTGATGCGGGGAAAGCCGAGTCGGAAGACTCATCGTATACCTCGGAGGAACCCACAGTCGTGGATTCCCCGCGGTACCGGCCGGGGCATGTCCTCAAAGAGGTCATAAACCATGGCCACGCGGTCCTAAACCGATAGCGGGAGCAACGGTTCGGGGGAAGGACCGGTGACCACGGGAGCCGCCGCCGTACCGGTGGACCCCGCGTCCGACCCCGCGGCCACCGAAGTGGCCGGGGACGGAACAGCCAGCGGCCTATCCTGAGATAAGGCCGCCAGCTTGGAGTCCACAAGTTATGCAAGTAATGCAGCGACGGAATCCCCGGACAGCACACGGGCCGCCAAGAGATCCGCCGCTTTACCGGTGGACCCCGCGTCCGACCCCGCGGCCACCGAAGAGGCCGGGGACGGAACAGCCAGCGGCCTATCTTGCGATAAGGCCGCCAGCATGGAATCCACAAGTTTCGACAACAATGCGGCGACGGAATCCCCAGACAGCCCGAGGGCCGCAAGGGGATCCGCCGCAGCCGAGGAGGTGGTACCCGCACGGGGACCCCGACCGGACGAACCGGCCACCACAGGGGTGGAGACGGACTGTACGTACAGCCGGTACCGCTCAAAATCCGCAGGCCCCAGACCTTCGCACAGGATGCACCGGGTGTCCCCGCAAGGAACCCTGCACCGCGGGCAACGAACGTGGGGATCCCGGGACGACAAAAACTTTCTGCACACCCCATAACTCCGAGGAGCAGGGGTAGAGGGGGTGGATACTGGGGACATATCCATGTCAGACATTGATTGTTTGCTATAAACAAAGAACAAAACATGGTTACAACGCACGCACCACAATGATTCACAAACGAACATTTTCACAAGAAAATAAACGAGCAATGTGAACATATAACATACACATATAACTTTTATTAAAGAAATAAGTTATGTTAACCCCCAAAACATACAAGAACAGGGGAAACGTAAAACACAACGTGCATACGCGAACCCCGCAAGTATATAGAAAAAAGGGCGGGAAAAATTTTCCGTTTGGCGGGAAAATTATAACCAAGCGTAGCTACCGCAACGCCCCATAAAAGCACAGTTTATTAGAGAATAAACTATAATAAATATCACCAAATCTTCAAGGAACGCTTCAGCAGGAGAAAACACGTCTTGCTAAGCAGACGAAGGAGACAAGAGTGAAGGGTGTCACATGGCAGCTAGGTGGCTACGCACGTGCTGCATGAGGTAATTGAGATCTCTGTGGTAGATTTCGCTATAGCAGCAGTTGTGGGAGACAACAGCCTCGGTATAACAGTGGTAACGTATTACTTAATGTAATAGCAATATGTACTAGGGCTGGGACGAGTCCAAATTTACTACCCGGGTACCCGCCCCCCCTATTACCCTACCCTACCCGGGTATCCAGTGTAGGTCTCAGGAAATGTCCCAAAATGTCCGATTGGGATCTTTTTTAGCATAGCTCTGGCAAAATGTATTTAGATACATGTATTAAATTCTGGTCATGCATACACTGAAGTTGACTTAAGTTATATCTTTATTCAACCATATGAAAAATCAGAAGGAATGGGTGCATAGTCAGAAAGAAAAACAAACATTAATGACTTGTAGTGTAACCATAGAGTTCTAGATAAGTTTAGTCAGTAGACAATATGTCACGTAACTAACCACGGGTCCGGGTAGTCCTGTGGGTACCCGGGTCCTACTCAGTACCCACCCAACCCGGGTACCCGAGTTACCCGTCCCAGCCCTAATATGTACGATAGTCTCTCAGTGTCAGGCAATGGCACAGTTCGCGCAAAGTTACAAACAGCCTCGTTCCATAAATTGACCCAAAACAGACGCACGTCACTACAGCCCTGCAGAGCGGCCGTGTCGTGGGTGATTGAGGATCATTGTGTCTACAAACCCAGGAAGTATTCTGATGCTAGTGGCAGGGTTGTCCAGTTCTCACCTGCTTGACCCTCATGATTCCTCTCAGGAAGCTCTCGTCGTCCACAAGCGGCTCCAGCTGACGCAGTTCATTCAGGTTAGAAACCCAGCCCTCGCCGATTTTCTGTGTCCACAAGTCAGGGAGTGTAAATCAGTCATGCATATATAGAGGATATTTCATGTGACAAGTGAAATATGTTGTTGTCGAGTGACGGTGGGGGGGAGGGAGGAGATATTTTCGTGAGTGGTGTAGACACAACTGAAAATATCTCCTTTCCCCCCGTCACAAGATGAGAGAAACATGATATTTCACGAGACATCGGGAATATCCTATTTATTAAACACATTTTACGTAAGTCTACAGGAAAATTGAATTATTTCATTACAAATGTAAAACCTTGAAACGTAAATATTCCCCACCTAACACACAGGGACGGTTCACCATCCCTTCTTTTCGCGACTTAAAAAGTAGTTTCGTGTTTGCAAAATCTTAAACACTATATAAACAAAAGTATCAAAAAATATTTAGGGTCACAAAAATTCTTTATCATACATTTAGATAATCTACTGTTCACTGCAGTGAAATACCAAGCGTTATGTTCACTGCAGTGAAACATCAAGTGTTATGTTCACTGCAGTGAAACATCAAGTGTTATGTTCACAGCAGTGAAACATCAAGTTTTATGTTCACTGCAGTGAAACATCAAGTGTTATGTTCACTGCAGTGAAACATCAAGTGTTATGTTCACTGCAGTGAAACATCAAGTGTTATGTTCACTGCAGGTTTTACGCCGCTTTTAGCAATATTCCAGCAAGATCACGGCGGGGGAAACCAGCAATGGGCTTCACACATTGTACCCCTGTCGGGAATCGAACCCGGGTCATCATCGTGATGAGCGAATGCTTTCACCACTAGGCTACCCGACCGCCCCTTAAACTCAAAGAAGGACATTGGGTGGTTATACTGAGATTCCAGACTTGGTGAACTGAACAGAACTGAAATCCTTATCAATTGGGGATGACCATAAAATCATACTCACTATTGCAATATTTTTGTGATGGGTAAAATCACTATTATCACTGCAAAACACTGACTGAGTATGGTTTTAAGCTTCTTTTAGCAATATTCCACCAATATCACGGCGGGAACACCAGAAACAGGGTTCACTCACTGTACCCATATGTGGAATTGAACCCGGGGCTACAGTGTGACGAGCAAATGCTTTAACCACTAGGGCTATTGCATAACACTATTGTGATACTATTGCAATAGCATTGCTTGAAAATTACAATCCATTTTCTTGCATTATTTGTCATGATGTCGAAGCCTGAGATATTTACCAAGTCAGCAGAATGCAACAGGAGAACTCTTAACTGATACAAAGTTATGAATGTTTTCTAAATGGCTACCCATGTGTCTCTTCAAGCAAGATATATGTAGGATCAAAGGTGAGGTGAGGTGAAATGCGGTTTAACGTCGCGTCCAAGATTATTGCACATATATAGCGACATGCATGTACGTGTGTGTGTTTGTGTGGCTGCTTGTACTAGTCCGGAATGATGCTGATTTATAGTGCTAGCTCACTCAGATAGCATGCCGCAGTTTAACATGAATACCCCACTCAGACACAGTATACTGACTCCGAGCCGACCAGTCCTTGTTTTAGCCCTTTAATGCCGAGCGCCAGACAGGGTAACAACAAGTACCATCTTTTAACGTCTTTTGGTATGACGCGCCCAGGGATCGAACCCCGGACCTTCCGCTCTCCAGGCGGACGCTCTACCACTAGACCACGGAGGTGGTATGTAGGATCAAAACCAATACAACACTACCTGATTACTTCTATCCCTGTATACTGTAGCATGATATCAATGTTAACTAGTTTCTTTTGATTATGTTTTAACTTACTGACGTACTGTCCCAGGCAATGTACACCTGTATGTATCGATAGTTCGATTAATCACTACACCCTTTCTTATCGAACACATCCCATATTTCTGGTGAAGAGTGAGTGAGTGAGTCTGGTTTAACGCCGCTTTTAACAGTATTCCAGTCATATCGCGCGTGTCAGCTTAATGTGGGAGGAAAGCCCGAAGTGATGCAGGTCTCAAACGTTTACCGCTTCAGTGAAACCCACGAGCATGGGTATGGTGCTGACAAACCTAGAAATATAATCAGGGCGAACCGGGATTCGAACCCACAATCATAGGTTTCAGGCGTGCCTAAGGGACGCAACTTTGCACAGTGAACCGCGGCGCCTTAGACGACTCGGCCACTCGTGCCCCCTCTGGTGAAGAAGGACAAAAATGATCAAAAACAATGTCATTCTCAAACTAGTCATACCTAAACCTCCAAAGGCCCCTCCGACTGTGGTTAGTGGAAAAGGTACTCACGTCAGCAATAGCATCCGACAGGCCGGGGTTACACAGCAGCAACCAGCGTCGGGGTGTGATACCATTTGTCTTGTTCTGGAATCTTTCTGGGAACATCTCATAGAAATCCTTGAAGCTGTGAGGAGAAACATTTGATACACCATCAGTAGCTGATCGGGGTAAAGTAATCATGCTCGAAGGGTGACCCAAAATAACTTTTCCTAAACTGGCCATTTATTATTAAAATGATGCTAATAAATTAATTGTCGTTGACAAAAAGCCTAGGAAAAATCATTTATTTAATATATTATACAATAATCTGCATTATAAAGGATATATATAAGGGTCATGTGCTACAGCAATTTGTGTTCTCAAAGTGTGGGGCCAGTGGGTAGCATATTGTTTAAAGAGTTTGCTTGTTTTGGGGGTTGCGGGTGGGGGTGGGGCACTATTTCATTTTACATTGATCATGATCATGAAGAAGGATGGATTTTTAACTATTTTTTATTGAAATCAAAAGTAGAGACTGAGTTGAGCTCCTTTTTTTCTTTCTCAACATGCTCAATAAAGCATTTTTTCCTGTGAGGACATTAACACAATTTCGAAACACTGATCAAAGGAAGGTCCTTTGAACAGGGAAAGGTGTATCACGCAATGCGTTGAGCTTGCCAGAATGGCTGTTATTTATAGTGAGTGAGTTGGGTTTAATGCCGCTTTTAACATTATTCTAGTCATATCACGGCGTGTCAGCTTAATGTGGGAGGAAAGCCCGAAAAGATGCAGGTCTCAGACGTTTACCACTTCGGTGAAATCCACGAGCACGTGTATGGTGCTGACAAACCTCGAAACATAATCGGGGCGTGCCCAAGGGACAGCGAATTGTGGTGCCTTAGACGACTAGGCCATCCGTGCCCCACTTGTTTTTTATAAATGGCTTAACAAGTTTCAAACTGTGAACACTAATGACACAAGGTAATATATATGATAGACAGGTACAAAGGTCTGCAAAATGCTTGAGAAACATGTTTTTCTTCCCAAGCCTCACGTTTCTCTCTTGATGATCTCAGAGTGTATAGCAGCCACCCCGTTGACAGCATGAGACCCCACAATGGCCAGATGGGCCATGTTGATCTTCTGTTCTCCGTGCTCCTCTACCATGGACATGCGACGGACACGATCTTCGTCACCCGGCCACTTCTTTTTCACCTCCTGTGGACAGTGAGTGTGTGTTGGCTTTAATCATGTTTCAAGTACTTCAGCTAGGCCACAATAAACTAATTACAAGAATTTCATCCAATTTGAAAAATAAACGTATGACAAAAAGCATTTTATGTTTATATTAGGGCTGCAACGAATACACTATGACGCGAATACAATTCGAATCATGAATATAGGTGAGTGAGTATGGTTTTACGCCGCTTTTAGCAATATTCCAGCAATATCACGGCGGGGGACACCAGAAATGGGCTTCACACATTGTACCCATGTCGGGAATCGAACCCGGGTCTTCGGCGTGACAAACGAACGCTTTAACCACTAGGCTACCCGACCGCCCCCATGAATATAGGGTAACGAATATGAATATTAAATCACGAATACAATAACATGTCAGCGGTTGATTTATTATTTGTTATATTAAGTGAAAAACCTAATAATTACATTATTATGGCAAAGGCGACTATGCTTGTCGTAAGAAGTGACTATGCTTGTCGTAAGAGGCGACTAACGGGGGATCGGGTGGTCAGGCTAGCTGACTAGGCTGATGCATGTCATCGTATCCAAATTGCGTGGATCAATGCTCATGATGACAGTCACTGGATTGTCTGGTCCAGACTCAAATATTTACAGACTGCCGTCATATAGCTGGAATATTGCTGAGTGCGGCTTTAATCAACAAACAAATAAACAAACATTATTATGGCCTTATACAACTGTGAATGTAAGCTCAATGTATGAGTAACGCCCGACATAGAACCGACTAGGCACGAGCATGGTGGTCGCAAACAATGAATGATAATCAGGGTTGAGCTCAATTGACCCAAGGTCACTGGCATGCAAGGGAAACAACTCTGCACAGTAAGTTGTTGTTCAGTTGAAAACTGGATTAATCATATTGAATAATTGATATTAGCATTCATAAAAAAATAAACAAAATAATTGCTTCTTGGCATGGCATGGATTCTTTGATTGGCTGTGGACTTCAAGCTCATGAGCCAGAGAAATTCTGAGCTAAGTTGGTGATAAGAGTAATGGAGATGGTAACGTCACTTCCAAAACGAAGCTTTGCTGGCAAATGGACCCTGGATATTTATCAAATCTGAATGGAGTGTGAGTGAGTGAGTGAGTTGGGTTTAATGCCGCTTTTAACAGCATTACAGTTATATCACAGCGTGTCAGCTTAATGTGGTAGGAAAGCCCGAAGTGATGCGGGTCTCAGATGTTGACCACGTCGGTGAAACCCACAAGCACGGGTATGGTGCTGACAAACCTAGGAACATAATCGGGGCGAACCAGGATTCGAACCCACAATCATAGGTTTCTGGCGTGCCCAAAGGACGCAACTCTGCACAGCGAATCCAGGCGCCTTAGACAACTGGGCCACCCGTGCCCCCTCTGAATGGAGAAATAAAACATTGGATGATTGAGGAAGCCAAAAGAAGGAGTTATAAACCTACCTGCAGGAAACGATGGTTGATCTCATACATGATCTGCAGGTGTCTGGGCAGGACGTTACTGAGGAGAGAGGTCGGCCAGCGCTCCAGGGCCTCGGGCAGCACAGTGTGGTTGGTGTAGGCACATGCTCTTACAGTGATCTCCCACGCCTGCAGGGAGGGGCAAATACTGGCTTTAATAACCTGTGCGTTTCTATTGTATCTTGTTACATTCAGTCAATGATAAAACATCAAAGGAGTCTTTAACAATCTCATTACAATTGAAACAGTTAAGCTAAAAAAAAATAGTCTTGGTTCTCAGGCACCGCCAACATCACCATAAAGTCTGCTGCATGTTTTGTTTGTATTTCCATTTTTTAAAATTAATAGGAGTTTGTATGCTTGTTTATGTAGGGAGGCCCTCTCCCAGGTTGATCATGTTGATGGTACACAAATGTTTATTTGGTAACATACTAGTTTGAAAAAGCAAAAATGTCTCATTCCATTAAGCCTTACTCCAATACTTTGATTGCCCAACCTAAGTGAATGACGTACATGTTCTTGCACCCATCAGGGGTTACTTTTCTAAAATGAATCAGCTTCATACCTATACCCATCTTCCCAAGGCAAGGGAGTTAACTGACTTTAACAGTCCAGTTTCCACCCTTGCCAAACTAGGCTGGAATTCCTGGGCTCAACCGTAGCGCCACCAGTGGCTATTAGGAGTTACGTCCCTTCTATGCCTCTCCTATGGACCAATCAGATTCCACCTCTCGTATCACATGCATTTGCTTCAAACAAAATGGTGGTGCCCAGTCAAGAAGATCTGGTCGATAATCAAGATCTATATTGTGATAAAACGGGTCTTACATCGCAAAGTCCATCAAATTACGATTTCTCTACGATGGTCTGCAAAGCATTGTGATGTAATTTCATTGCAGCGATATCTACAGTGCAGATATCGCTTGATCTGATCCAAGTGATATCTCCTGTGGGAGCCAGTGAGTGCGACATGGCTCAATGAGACATCAACTGAAGGTATTCATGGCAAGACACAAAGTAAAAAGATTGAAAAAAATCACAGAATTTCCAAAAATGTCCTTCCTTGAAACCATTACATGAAACACAAGTCAGTTTACCTTCTCCCAGGGAACTCTCTCAATGTCAACCAGTATTCTCATGAGTTCTGGGATCGCCATAGATGGATGAGTGTCGTTCAGTTGGATAGCCACCTGTAGCAGAAAGCCAGTCATAAAGTCTAGCAAATTCAAAGAGGTAATACATCATAGATTAGGCCACATCAAATTTTTCATATGAGTAATTTTGTTGACTTCTTCATGAGGAAGTGAGGCAGGGTGATGAAAATCTATCAAAATAATATTTTATATGACAGATATATGAGAATTGAGATATTCAATTTTTTTAAATTCTTCACTCAAGAATAGTTCTAGCACAACCAGCTACATTCGTCACCACTCGCCCCTTTCCGTAACCTGCAAGAAGACTCGTCCCCCTATCGATGAATGTTATGTGCGAAAATACGACAAACCAATCAGGATGCGCGTTTCATTTCAAGTTGTTCATCAAAGAATCCATCAGAAATAATTTTTGATTTCACATTCGTCTTGCATCTCAAAATATACCCAAGACACAGTTAAATGTGTTCAATCATACTGTATAATTCCGCATGTCTAGATGTGCTATAAATTGCATCTGAAATATATATGATATATGGGGAAATATATGTGAACCATTACGCAACGAGTTAACAATTGTTTTAGGTATGCCCGTTTGCGCTAAGGCGGAACCCGGTCGCAAAAATGGCTATGAGAGGGGCACGAGTCGCTATTCGGCTTGTTCCGGAATAACACGAGTTGGTTACGAATGTACCAGCTCAACATTTGGAGGGAGTTGTACTAATAATACACTGGCATCCATGAGTGAGTTATTTCTATAAAAAGTTATACAAAGTTTAAGTGACCTAATTTTATTTCAAGGCTCTTACTACAGTTTCAAAGGACAAAAATACACCATAATGCTGATGTTAACAAAAGAATCTTTATCAGACACAACACAACCTTGCTGTTTTCTGGGCATGAGGTTTCCCTCTTGTAACTGCAAGCTCCTTCCCAGCGCGTGACACCTTCGTTACACTCTCGGTAACATCGCTGCCACCAGTGTGGGCGCGGCCATTACAAGAATCTTGAAATTTGCCCTCTAACCCCAAATGTAGTCGCATTCATACTTTTGTTTTCAAGTTTTAACTGGTGGCAGCCATAGTATAGAGAGCTCAGCGAACGGGCTATCGCTGTGAGGAGCTTGTTGTAACTGAGATGAGGGGAGGTAACTCTAAACTGATGTTGACAAATCCAATACAAAATTACTGAGAGATCATCAATAAATACGGCACCCTTTCAAAACATGGTAAAGAGATAGTAAAGTACCAGACAGCATTTTCAAAGCCTCTATTTCTATCATATTCAAGGCCTTTTTAATGCACTTACTCCTAATTCACGTTTTCAAGGCATTGAGGCATTGAGGGATGGTTAAACCACTAATATCACTGACCTTGTCTGGAAATGTGTCGAAGGAAGTCCTGACTGGGTCTCTACAACCAAACCTAGAAGACTTGAACCTGCGTACAATGTCCTGTAGAGTGGCAGCGACGAGGAAGTACTCTTGCTTCAGACGCAGCTCCTTGCCCTCAAACACCTTCAACATAAACACACGCTACATCAACAAAATGTCACCTGGTGCAGGAATCACATCTACAAACACAAACAGCTCTGATCAAAATACCAGAAACATGATTTACTTTGGACAGTGACATTAATAAGGGCTGGAAATCTATAACAAAAGGTTTCTTTGTGACGAAGTAAAGACGTAGGGGGTTCCTAGATTAAAATACTCTAGCAGTAAATCTTGAGGACCGCCAGGTCCCTCCATCTTCCCAAGGCAAGGGAGTGAGTGAGTTGGGTTTAACGCCGCTTTTAATAGTATTCCAGTCATATCGCGGCGTGTCAGCTTAATGTGGGAGGAAAGCCCCAAGTGATGCAGGTCTCAGACGTTTACCACTTCGGTGAAACCCACGAGCATGGGTATGGTGCTGACAAACCTAGCAACATAATCGGGGCGAATCGGGATTCGAACCCACAATCATAGGTTTCTGGCGTGCCCAAGGGACGCAACTCTGCACAGGAGTTAGGAATGAGTGAGGAATGAGGAGTGAGGAATGAGGAGTAAGGAATGAAGAATGAGGAGTGAGGAGTTAGGAATGAGAAGTGAGGAATGAGGAGAGGTAAGAAAAGCATCCCTGTCATACAGTACCGTGGCGCTTGACTCACCTGGTTAGGTGCCAACATTCTCCCTGACAATGTACTTGATAACCAACAGCTCTTTGTCTTTTTTTTGGTATTGTTTACATATTGCTAACCAACTAACTTGGTTCAGTAAAATGAAGTATAAAAAAACCCTTGTTTTTATTGTGTATGTTATTTGGCATGAAGTGTTTTGGGAAAAAGATAAATGTAAGTGCTGTCTTAAGTGTGGGATTGTATAGTATTTTGACAGTAACCATGGTAACATTTACACATATTATATCACGAGAAGGCTTTGTCCTCCAAGAGGTTGCAGTGGCCATAGAAAACACACAATGTATTTGACTGTCAATAGTTAGTTTGTATAGATATTGTAGTTGTATAGTTTGTTTTTTCTTACCCATGAAAGACGGAGCAGTCAGATAAAAATAGTATAAGTTAAACTTTAATTTTAACTACAAAATAGTGGCTTTGGCCCTATTCAGTCAAATATATAAAGCAAAAACTAAAAAGAGTGTCTCCAATACTCTCCATCCACCAGAAATACCATGGTAGTAATTTTATATCAGTAACAATATGGAGGTGCTTCTCAAGTCAGTTTCTGGTAACACAATACATTGTCAGTAGATACAAGTCCCAATATACCAGTGCGTAATAGGGATGGGTAATGGAGGTTCGAAGTGTTTCACAATATTTTGTGATGCACAAAGACATATTGCAATATGTATCACGATATAATGTATATTTCTTAATTTTGAATTCAGAAGCAATCTGATACAATAAGGCAGTGTTAGAAATTGGCACTAGTCCTGTAGTCCTTGCCAAAATGCCCAATGGTAAAGGTATCATAACTAGTAGAAATTGGCCCTTTTTAAGGGTCTTGCTATATGTTATCATTATTAGGACTAGTGGATGACAACTGTTAGTTTCTACTGCTGCTTAAGGTATGAATTGAAGTTCATAAATGGAACAAAACAAGATGCTGGTACAACATAATGTTTACTCCGTCAATAATACGCAGCCATCTTGGGGCCCTGGATGCATGGTCCGAGGGAGTGCAGGCATTTGGCAAGCATATAACAATTAAACACATGATAAAAATCGGTATTTGAAATCACCCAATACCAAGCATGAAAAAATGATATTGTGATACATATTGTGGAAAGAATGAACCTCAATATACCGATATACCGATAATACCTAGTGTCTAATGACTTGAATAGCCTACACACAGCATGAGGTGAGGTGAGGTGAAATGGGGTTTAACGTCGCGTCCAAGATTATTGCACCTATATAGCCACGTGCATGCACGTGTGTGTGTGTGTGTGGCTGCTTGTACTAGTCCGGACTGATGCCGATTTATAGTGCTAGCTCAATGAGATACCATGCCGCAGTTTAACATGAACATCCCTCTCAGACACAGTATACTGACTCCGAGCCGACCAGTCCTTGTTTTGGCCTCTTAATGCCGAGTGCCAGACAGGGTAACAACAAGTACCATCTTTTAACGTCTTTTGGTATGACGTGGCTGGGGGTCGAACACCGGACCTTCCGCTCTTCGGGCGGAAGCTTTACCGCTAGACCACTGAGGCTGTCCACACAGCATGAAAGCACAACTATGGCGCACATGTGTAACAACTAAACAACTCCTATTGCCATTCAATATTCTCCAGACTACATTCTTCATGCACATGGAATGCTGGTGTAGATCCTGATAAGTGCAATGAATTCCACAATGGATAGTAAGAATATTTGTGATTTTCATCTACATCAGTACCTAAAACATTCAATCTCAAAAAGCAAACAAGCTCTATGGGTGATTATTTACATATTTGTACAATGCTTAAGTTTTCGTTTGTTGTTTAATGCACACGAGATATTCACAATCAACACAGCAACTCACATTGTCATTGGGGTACAGAACACGAGAAATATTCTCAGCCAGATTTCGGTCACAGACAGCATCAATGTAAGCGCCATTGTTGACTGAAAAACAAAGACAAGTTTATCAAACTGTTTCCTCAAAACCTAAGCTCTGCAGTTCTTGGACTCCTAGGGTTATCAGTAACATTTAACAGGTAATTCCCTCAGAACAACACACCCAGGAGCAACTGAGACAGTAAGTGAGTGAATGTTGTTTAATGCCAGTCAGAGTGAGTGAGTGAGTACAGTTTTGCGCCGCTTTTAGCAATATTCCAGCAATATCACGGCGGGGGACACCAGAAAAATGCCAGTCACAAAGTCAAGTGACTGGATATACTTGCATCAGGAAGAACAGTAAAAAAAACATTTACATGGTGCTGCTAAAATACCTAATTATTAAATAAAATAAATAAATTTAAATTCAAATTTAAATAAATATTTTCCCACTTGCCCGGCAGTATATTTTCATGGGCTGAGCAAGTCGGACATACTAATTGAACACCCCTGCAATAACTGTATGCAAATTTTAAAAATAAGTGTTTTATTTGAAGCAAAGACAATGAAATCTTACAAAATCTGAGATCGAAGCTGTTGGGTGCCTTTGCCGACCATAGCCTGAGTGTGTTGACTGTGTTGTTTCCGTATCCAGGGATAGGGCTGTCATAGGGCATGGCGAACACGACCTGCAAACACAGCCTCACTTGTTACACCATCAACTTGCATCCTACCCCAGGATCAGCCTCTTACAGTGCAAAGCATAACTTGGACCTCTTCAAACAATTCGATAGTATTAGGGCCCTTTTTAGGCCTAATGGAAAAAACATTTTAAAGATATGGTCACAGGAATGTTTGGGTGGCTGATCATATTGATAAGCCTTTCCCTTCGTTTCACCAGCAATATTCCAGCTATTTGACGGCAGTCTGTAAATAATCGTGTCTGGACCAGACAATCCAGTGATCGATATCATGAGCATTGGTCCACGCAATTGGTGGGGTGAGGTGAAATGGGGTTTAACGTTGCGTCCAAGATTATTGCACTTACATAGCGACGTGCATGTACGTGTGTGTGTGTGGCTGCTTGTACTAGTCCGGACTGATGCCGATTTATAGTGCTAGCTCACTGAGATACCATGCCGCAGTTTAACATGAATACCCCACTCAGACACAGTATACTGACTCAGAGCCGACCAGTCCTTGTTTTAACCCCTTAATGCCGAGCGCCAGACAGGGTAACAAAGGCATGGGTTGCTGAAGATATATTCTAACCTGGATCTTCACAGGTATGAATGCCAAAGTCAAATGTTTCTACCCCAATGAGAAAATCTAATTATGAGTCCATGATTCTACACAAAATTGAAGACCCCATGTTTGCCTTTATTTATACTACTCCACTCCATATCAAAGGATTCTCATCATATGTCAAGTGTACATTTAAACATATGCAACATATCTAATTATCCCTAACAAATGTTAAGTGAGTGAGGTTTAACGCCGCTTTTAACAGTATTCCAGTCATATCACGGCGTGTCAGCTTAATGTGGGAGGAAAGCCCGAAGTGATGCAGGTCTCAGGAATTTACCACTTAGGTGAAACCCACGAGCACGAGTATGGTGCTGACAAACATAGAAACATAATCGGGGCGAACCGGGATTCGAACCCACAATGATAGGTTTCTGGCGTGCCCAAGGGACGCAACTCTTCACAGCAACTCGCAAATATTAAGTAGTTGTCATCTAAAAAAATGACTTGCTCACGTTCAAATATTGAAAAATCACTTACTGAAAATCACTAAAATTAGATTTTCTGAAAAATATTAGCCTTCCCTACACCATGTATAGTGTTGTTATAAGTCCAAAACCATCTTCCCAAGGCAAGGGAGTTAACTGACTATAAAAGTTCAGTTTCCACCCTTGCCGAACTAGGCTGGAATTACTGGGCTCGATCGGAGCGCCACCAGTGGCTATTACGAGTTATGTGGCTTCTATGCCTCTCCTATGGACCAATCAGATTCCACCTCTCGTATCACTTGCATTTGTTTCAAACAAAACGGCGGCACCCAGTCAAGATGATCTGATGGATAATCAAGATCTATATTGTGATAAAATGGGTCTTACATCGCTTAATGCATCAAACCACTTGGACACCTTGATAAAAAAACATGAAAACACCCTTTGAAAATTTCTGTTTACAACGAGTTGGCAGTGCACATGCTTTACAAATCCTGCAATCGACCGAAATCTGCACGACAGTTTACGAACCGGATTTCGATTTCGTTGCGCGATTTTGATTGGACTATGCATAGACTCGTTAGTCCAGCCAAAATGTAACTCCATAATACCAGCCTAGTTTGGCAAGGGTGGAAACTGGACTTTAAAAGTCAGTTAACTACCTTGCCTCGGGAAGATGGTCCAAAACATGCATATGTTGAAATGAATAAACAGCGAATGTTTTTTCCGTCACTGACCTGTGAATCTACCCACTTGCCATCTGCCAAACTACCCTCAGCCCGACCGTAGAAGTTCACAGGCAGCATGTACTCGGGGCGAGCTTTCTCCCATGGGTTGCCATAGCGTAGCCAATCATCAGGCTCCTCCAACTGAAATGAACAGCATCACGCCACTGTAGCTCACCTGGTTATATAGTTAAAACATTAAATGCAACAAAACATGGCAGCATAGTTGCCACTAGCATCGATATTATTCCAATTTCTGCACGAATCGAGTACCAATAAACATCAAATGTAAGGTGTGTAATATTATTCAACAATTTCCCTATTTCCCTATGCTAAAACAAAGATGTCCGTCTCACAGAGATCACTTCCCTAGACCTTGGGAATAGTAGTTATGTCATAATTTCATTTAATGACCCCTCCCTCGAGGCTAATCCCATCCTCCCTAATAATGATGATAAGTGTCAAACAAAACTCAAATTTTAATATTTGTCTATAATGGAAGAGAAAACTCAAAACTGAACAGGTCTCATTTGATAACCATCGTGGTGAAGCCCTACATGCACAGTTGGCTACCTATACAGGAGACCTGTGAAGATCTGGGTAGGGAATAGGTCTTCAGCAACCAATGCTTGCCGTAAATGGCAACTATGCTTGTCGTACGATTCGACTAACGGGATTGGTTGGTCAGGCTTGCTGACTTGGTTGATGCATGGCATCGTATCCCAATTGCGTAGATCGATGCTCATGATGTCAATCACTGAATTATCTGGTCCAGACTCGATCATTTACAGACTGCCATCATATAGCTGGAATATTGCTGAGTGCGGCATTAAACAACAAACAAAAAAACCCTACACAGGAGCATCACTGGGATGGAGCTAAGATAGAACCACAATCAGGGGATTCTGACAGGGTACCTGCACAAGGACCGAAGTGTCTGAGTATATAAAGAGAGACAGTGACTCTTAACCAAAACATTGTAAAAGATCCAAGCTTCTTTTTCGATGTATTTGATAAAAGATGGGAATGAATAGTTTTTCAATGTTAGCAGAATTCCACTTTATCGCAGAAGCCTGAAAGTCCATCGTGGAAAGAAGGTCTCTGCCAACAAACCAGTGTTAGCAACAATCTCTGCCATCAGGAAGTGAGTGAGTGAGTGAGTTGGGTTTAGCGCCGCTTTTAACAGTATTCCAGTTATATCACAGCGTGTCAGCTTAATGTGGGAGGAAAGCCCGAAGTGATGCAGGTCTCAGATGTTTACAACTTAGGTGAAACCCACAAACAGGGGTATGGTGCTGACAAACCTAGAAACATAATTGGGGCGAACCGGGATTCGAACCCACAATCATAGGTTTCTGGCGTGCCCAAGGGACGCAACTCTGCACAGCGAATCGTGGCGCCTTAGACGACTGGGCCACCCGTGCCCACCCCCCAATCAGGAAGTGAAGACACACAAACCACATCACACATTGTGACCACCCAATCCTCATCTTAACCATTCTTGCAACTAACACTGGTTACAATGGGGGCCTATTCTTCTTGGACTCCCTACACGACCCAGAACTCTGTAAAGAGGTCCAACTGACCTGCCACCCATCATTTATCTTCTGTGTGAAGATGCCGTAGTCATAGCGGATACCATAGCCATAGGCAGCAAGTCCTAGGGTGGCCATCGAGTCCAGGAAACAAGCAGCCAGACGACCGAGGCCGCCATTTCCCAGACCAGCATCCTCTTCAATCTCCTCAAGCTCCTCAATGTCAAGGCCAAGCTAAAGGAACAAGCGATGGACATGATGGTAGAGGGTTGCGTACAGGAATTAAAGGACACGTCATAAAACAACGATAAAAATTACACTGGATATAATTTTCATGCATACAACCCATAAGGACAAATTTTAAGGTGTCCTATTGAGCTATCGATTCAATCAGTGTCAGGATATTTACATTTGTAGAATGTTAACATGACCGGGGCCCCGTTCCACAAATCGATTGTAGCGCTAAGCATGCTAAGATGATCGTATCTCCCATACTTTAACATAGGCTTACGATAGTCGTAGTGCTGTGATGGCTTTGTGGAACGGGATCCAGGATGTTATTTGCATTGTTTGTGCAATAGAAGTAACCCTATTGAAATATGAGACTCCTCTAGGAAAGCAGTATTTCACTACAATGGAATGTGAACAATGAATATCAAAGACAAAAAGGGTATGCATCTAGGCGAGAGCATGTCAAATTTTGCTAAGTTGTAAATAAAACAATATTTTACTTTTTTTTGATCTGGTAGACTGACATTGTTATAGAATAATTAAATTTATTTTAATCACACCAAATATCCACCTAGCATGTTTAGTGACCAATTTGAAATTGCCAGTACTATTTGACTTAAAGTCTTTGAAAGGCATTCAGCAATCTCATTAAAATCAGATCTTAGTTCTCGCTACAGCTAAACAAAGATCTGAGGACATCCCATTAAGGGACACGTCAGACCGACCTTTTCCGAACTTTGACCGACCAATGGAATAACTGACATGTAGTCGACATTAGCCAATCAGAAGGCAGCTTTCTCGTGCTTTACGGCACTATTTTCAAATTGGCGACTACGCTTCGAAACATATTTTGACAAATACTCGATTAAAAATTTGAAACCTGAACAAATGAACATTCTGGAATGGCTAATAGATTGTCTATATTGTATGGATTCAGTCGTTTAGCCCGTAACTATCGTCCGGAATACCCCGTGTCAAAGATTTCGACGTTGCATGATAAGAAATCACATTCCAACTGTCACTTTCATGATCTTGTAAGCAACGCTCTGATTGGTCGGGTGAAAGGTCGTTCTGACGTGACCCCTAATGGGATATCCTCAGATCTTTGTTTTGCGGTAGCGGTAGCAAGAACTAAGATCTGATTTTAATGAGAGAGGTACACAGAGTAAGGAAGAGAATTTACAGATGTCAACTTCTGCAAGCCCAGGTTGATGTTCCTCATAATAAGAAGTTGACATCCATAAATTCTCTTCCTTACTATTTGACTTTTCTATGAATGTAATTTTGAAGGCTTGAGTATAGTGGGTATCCGCATAGTAATTTTGGACTTGTCCCAGCCCTAGACTGTACCGCCTACAAACCATTTCAACAATTGGGCACTGACATCCTTGTGCCTTAATATATTGATTCACAAGTCTCAGGTTCTAAGGTTATCTTACTTTTGGCATATTTATTTTATGCGTTGGTGACTTAAGATTTACATAGGAACCAGTGAGATTTTAATTTTTAATTTTTTAATTTTTTATTCCCATCATTTCAAATACAAAGTATACATGGAACATGTTACATTAAGATCAGCTTGGTATATATTCAAATCGCCTTGTTGTACATTCAGTAGTTTGTTTCTCTAGTACATCTGGTAGATCTATATATAAGGTTTCTATACAGAATAACAGACAAATTGTAATATTAAATCATATCTTGGTATACTTGAATAATGTGTGGAATGAGGACCAAAAAGAGAAATATTTAGCTTGTTTACAATTTGAGAAAGCAATAGATCTTGTAGCCTCATAATATTTAATTATTTCCCACTTTACTTGTTTAAAATGTGGAATTGATTTCTTTCTCATTTGGTTATAAATTACAAATTTTGCAATTAAAAATATAATATTCAATGAGTTATTATTTTTTCCTTTAAATCCAAATAAAAGATTTTGGTTACTACAATCAATACTTCCTTCCACTGTTGTCCCTAACCAATCTTTCAAATCCTCCCAAATATGAATTGTATATTGACATTCACAAAACATATGAATAATGGTTTCTGGGCAAGTTTTACAAAGAGTACATGTGGGGGAATCTTCATAACCAATCTTAAATAAATAACTATTTGTTGCAAGAATATAGTGTAGTATCTTAAGGTGAAACCAAATTAGGCTTACACTTTGCGTACATCTGTAAACCATCAAATTATCATGATTATATATTTCCCACTCTTCATTACTAAAATTTTTTTGTAAAACATTTTCCCACTTAAGCATACCATGGGTGATTACGAAATTTGGGTGTAGAAGAGTGTTATAAAAGTCTTTACTTCCGCCTTTACAATTAATTATGAGTGAGTGAGTGAGTATGGTTTTACGCCGCTTTTAGCAATATTCCAGCAATATCACGGCGGGGGACACCAGAAATGGGCTTCACATATTGTACCCATGTCGGGAATCGAACCCGGGTCTTCGGCGTGACGAGCGAACGCTTTAACCACTAGGCTACCCGACCGCCCCCAATTAATTATGAGTGATACATTGAAGGGTAATATAGGTAGGGTAATATAGGAACCAGTGAGATTGGTAGATATAGTGTTACCTGGTACATGGCCTCATCGCAGGAACTCTGCATGCCTAGGTTGACCATGGTGTTGGAGAGGGTGCGCCCCATGTAGAACTCCAGGGAGAGGTAGTACACACGCTGCAAGCAAACAACTGACAGGTAACACCATCAAACTCGTAGACATAGAAGTGTACATATAATTCAGCGTTAGAAATTGGCACTAGTCCTTACCAAATAGTAAAGGTATCCTAAGGACTAGTAGAAATTGGCCCACTTTAACATGTTTAAGGGTTTTGCTACATGTTATCATTATAAGGACTAGTGGACAAAAACTGTTAGTTTCTAACCCTGTGTATATATATATATATATATACCGTATTCGACGTAATAAGCGCCCCGCTCTAATAAGCGCCCATGGCGATATTTGCTAATGTATTGGCTAATGAACAATCCCAATTAGCGCCCCCTTCCGATTGATCAATGTACAAAGGACTTATTTATTCGCATATATTCGCACTCGTGTTATACATATTATATGCACCCTTAATTACGGGCAACTAAATTCTGGGAAAATATACCTGTCTATATACCAGACAATCTAGTGATTGACATCATGAGCATCAATCCACGCAATTGGGATCTATAACATGCATCAACCAAGTCAGCGAGCCTGACCAACCAATCCCGTTAGTCGCCTCTAACGACAAACATAGTCGCCTTTTACGGCAAGCATGGGTTGCTGAAGACCTTTTCTACCCCGGGTCTTTACGGGTCCATTATGACTATTAAGTTATATCAGGGGTATTGATGTAAAAACAGTATTTGAGAATACTATATACCATGATATATATAGGACACATGTTGTCTCAAGCAATCTGGTGAACCATCTAAGAAAAATCCTGGACTATATCGCACAAAACCCATACAGAATCACTCATTACTATCATTTCCTGCAAGGAGTTTATGCTTCATTGTGCCTTGGTAGAACTGATTGTTTGTTTCTTTGTTGTTTAATGCCACACTCAATATCCCAGCTATATAACGGCAGATGGTAAATAATCAAGCCTGGACCAGACAATCCAGTGATTGACATCATGAGCATCAATCCACGCAATTGGGATCGATGACATGCATCAACCAAGTCAGCGAGTCTGACCACCCGATCCTGTTAGTCGCCTCTTACGACATGCATAGTCGCCCTTTTACGGCAAGCAAGGTTGCTGAAGACCTATTCTACCCCAAATCTTCACAGGTCTGGTAGAACTGAGATAAACATGAGTTTTCTATGTTGAACTATGTAGATTTGATGATGCTAATTGTAATATCAACTGAAACCTCGGTGCATTTGGTTTCCGAATCTAATTTAGCAGTGTCAAATCTACAGATAACATTGCACACTGCACCCACACAAGGATTGTCTCCTTCAAGTGGTGGATGGTAACAGCAAGTCATCCTGACTCAGCCTTATCATGTTTATACATCATTACCGTATTCGACGTAATAAGCGCCCCGCTCTAATAAGCGTCCAACGCGATATTTGCTAATATATTGGCAAGTGAACAATCCCAATTAGCACTCCTTCCGATTGATCAATGTACACAAGACTTATTTTTTCGCGAATAATAAGCACTAATGTGTTATATGCACCCTTAATTATGGGCAATTAAATTCTGGAAAAATTTATCTCTCGTATATAAACAGTTCAGGCCGTCAGCATAAACCACGAAATTTATCTTTCAACTCTGTTTTTTCCCACCAAAATAATATTCTAATAAGTGCCCCCTATTTCTAATTTTGAGAGCATCCTGAGCGCTTATTATGTCGAATACGGTAATCTGATTTTCATCTGTCACTAAATTAACATGTCCACCAGCTTGCTGTTCATGATTTTTTTAGGAATTGCCCTTGAATACGATCATCCAGCTGTCGGCAATCTACGAGATTTCATCAAGGACACCTATTTATCTTATTTTACTCAAAAAAGTTGATAAAACTAATATGAATTAGGGCTGCAACGAATACACTATGAGGCGAATATGATTCATATCATGAATATAGGGTAACGAATACGAATACTAATTCACGAATACAATAACAAGTCAGCAGCTGATGTATTATTTGTTGTATTCAGTGAAACGACAACAAAAATTATTTGACATCGTTTGTTAACTATTAATATATTATACATTTATATACTGCACTTATCCAGGTACTAGCATGTGCTCAAATGCGACAATGACCAGTGATCACAATACTGTCAAATTACATATTATATGAGCGTTATCTTTGAAGAAATCTATGCATATAATATGTTCTTATGGATATTTTTAGGTACAGGGTATGTGAATGCACATGATTGCATATTCATAAATATTCAATTCTAGTGGCCACGAATAACGAATTCAATTCATGAATGATGACGGTTCGATTCACCGAATCAGCCCTAATATGAATTGTACTAGACTCTATCTTTCTGAATAGCTTATGTCTCAGACTGATAGGTCTGTGGCTTCAGGATATTATGTCTGTATAAAATACATGAAGTATTATCTATACAGGAAATTGACCACTTGTGACAACATGACAGTTATCAGCAGCTGTGTCAGTATCATCCATCTATTGACCTGTCTGCCATACAATGCCATATGCCTAACAAGTCTAGTGTTTCATATACACCATCCAGAAAATGCAGATTGCTCAGACATCCGTAACACTGAAATTGCTGAAGATATTTAGAGTGCAATCAGTCTTTTCGCTATTAAGTTAACACAAACAATAATAACTCATTTATACCAAGATTGCTTTACCATGCTTACCCACAAATATCAAATGTACCGTATTCGACGTAATAAGCGCCCATGGCGATATTTGCTAATATATTGGCTAGTGAACAATCCGAATTAGCACCCTTTCCGATTGATCAATGTACACAAGACTTATTTATTCGTGTATAATACGCACTCATGTGTTATATGCACCTTTAATTATGGGAAATTAAATTCTAGAAAAATATATTTGTCGTATATAAACATTTCAGACTGTCAGCATAAACCACAACATTTATCTTTCAACTCTGTTTTCTTCACTAAAATAATATTCTAACAAGAGACCCCTATTTCTAATTTAGAGTGAGTGAGTGAGTGAGTTTGGTTTAACGCCGCTTTTAACAGTATTCCAATAATATCGCGGCGTGTCAGCTTAATGTGGGAGGAAAGCCCTAAGTAATGCAGGTCTCAGATGTTTACAACTTCGGTGAAACCCACGAGCATGGGTATGGGTGGTTTTTCACCAAAATAATATTCTAATAAGAGCTCCCCCATTTCTAATTTTGAGAGAGTCCTGGGCACTTATTACGTCGAATACGGTTACTGAAATCGGATCAACAATCAAGATCATGATATATTCTCCTTTTAATGACAGGTTTACCATAAATGTTTCTTAAAGTAAAACGAAATAATAATTGATTGAAAATATGCATCTTTTGTTGTTTGTTTATATCTTTAAACTCTAATTTCAAGGAAATTTCTTCTTGAATATTGTGCTCCTTCATCATGTTCATGTTGACCAAGAACTTAAATAACACTGGCCTAAAAAATAACAATGACACTAAAAGCATGGTAAACCATGGTTCCTTGTTACCATGGTAACAGTGCAACATCTGGACTACACCTGCCTCTGGTGGTGCACTAGTTAGACAATAGCAGACTTGCAGACAAAGTCTCCCCAGTCAGCGCCCTCATCACTTATATAATGGCATAATCCTTGCCACCTTTACAGCTTACATCACCAACTGTCCATCACCACCATTTTTATATACCATATTCGACGTAATAAGCTCCCCACTCTAATAAGCGCCCACGGCGATGTTTGCTAATATATTGGCTAGTGAACAATCCCAATTAGCACCCCTTCCGATTCATCAATGTACACAAGACTTATTTATGCACCCTTAATTATGGGCAAATAAATTCTGGAAACATACATTGGTCGTACATAAACATTTCAGGTTGTCAGCATAAACCACGAAATTGATCTTTCAACTCTGTTTTCTTCACTAAAATAATATTCTAACAAGAGACCCCTATTTCTAATTTAGAGTGAGTTTGGTTTAACGCTGCTTTTAACAGTATTCCAGTTATATCACGGCGTTTCAGCTTAATGTAGGAGGAAAGCCCTAAGTTATGCAGGTCTCAGACGTTTACCACTTCGGTGAAACCCACGAGCACGAGTATGGTGCTGACAAGCCTAGAAACATAATCAGGGCGAACTGGGATTCGAACCCACAATCATAGGTTTCTGGCATACCCAAGGGACACAACTCAGCACAGCGAAATCGCAGCGCCTTAGACGACCGAGCCACCTGTGTCACCTTAATGAGAAATGACTATTATCATAATTATTATGGCATAAGATGAACTGGTCATGAGTTAATGAGCTAACCCATCCCACTGATGAATCAAGATGACAAACTTGAGCACAGACCCATTTCCCATCTTCTTTATGCCTAATAATGGTCCAGGGGTTGAAGTGGGTCTGTTAATATCTCAGTCTTAGCCCTTCAATGGGAGTCTAAAGCTGGCAAACTATATTTTAATAACATCATAACACTGCACATCCTCTGAAGTCCTTTGGCGATTATTTAATGAGGATTTCCTTGTTTTAAACAAAACTCAGTAAACAACATGATCAAGAGATGAAAAACAGAAATGGACAGTCGGAACTTACCAGTGTTATCAGACATGTGAAAACAGAAATGTTATTTAATATCTTGTGCCTGCTGTAAATTACTTTGTTATAACGATCCAGAAGTAATTTTGCATCCATTTGGATGTATAGGCAGAGCTCCAGATAAGCTGCGTATCTGCGTGAAATACGCATCAGAAATGCAGAAATACACAGTAAAATATAATCCAAGCGTATCAAATACGCAACGAACATTACAGATACGCTACAAAAATAAAACTGGCGTATCATCAAAATATTGTGAAGTAACCCTGCGTATTTCGATTAGCAAATCAGCAACTCCATGATGACAGTTATATCATGATCATTTGCCATCACACTTTCTTGTGGAAGTATCGTGGTATTTTTGAGTCCTATAAAGCTCTCGAACCCACATAACACCAGTTTGCAGGGAC